AGAATCCCACATTCTTAACGTCCATACCTAACAAAGACAATAGGGAGAAGATGATTGGTCAACTGTATTTTGCTTTTTCTTCCCACAGTTCCTCCGTGTGTGTGGTTCACCCCCCACACTTATTGCATCTTTCTTTCTACCAATATAATAATCAGAACAAAAAATCATGAGAAACCATGTACTATTATACTAAGTGATATCTATTGATTTTAGGCTGGAGAAAATAAATAAATAAATAAATATATATATTATTTTATTTTATTTTTTTCAGTTTTAAGTATAGTATTTTTTTAAAAGGATAATAAAGTGATAAAATTACCATAAAATTTTTGTTGATTGAATGTGAAATGACCATCTCATTATCCTAATTTTATGTTTGGAATTCTAATTCTAGTACTCTATGCACTAATATCGGACATTACATGCAACAAAAAATAACTAAAAAGAGAAAGGCGGTTATGAAATTATGACAAATTTAATTTAATTTAATGTAATGTAAATAAGTAAGTTGGAGTTAAACAAATACGTAAAATCAATGTGTCAAAATTAAAGTTGACTACACGTGTAACATTTTGCTAAACATAACACAAACATAGAATTAATTTGAAAATTACTGGTCATTCCACAGAAATTTAAGACATCAAAATACTTAATTGACTAAAATAAATAGTCCACAAACTTATTTAAATTTCAATTGTGTGTATTGAATACAAATAAACATTTTAGCTAATACTAGTAAAGGTGTAAACTTTGTACAAGGAGGATAAATGAGTTGAAATCGAGTAATTGGCTAAAAACACACTAAATATATATAGTAGTTACTAGTTAATACAAAGATAAAAGATAAAAGAAATTAAAAACGTAGTAATAATAAATAAGGAGAGATTGCTGAAAAGTGCTGATCTGTCACTCCGAAGTTGAGGTTCGTAGTATCCAGGTAGGCTCGTACAACCGTTTGGGGTTACGAACCTCTTCCCGATAAACAAAATTAAAAAGTATTAACCAAAGAAACAATTAACTCTGTACCTCCTGTCTGTCTTGTAAAGTGACCGTAGGAACATCATCTTCTTCTCTCCTAAACCATTAATTTCAGCCATAACCAACAAAGCTTTTGCTTTCTTGTGAAGCATTCCTACTTTTTTGCCTTTGCTGTTGGCAAAAAAGAAATAACCAACTTATATAAGCCTTTCCTATCATTCTTCTCTTCAGCTATACGATAATAATGATACCATTCTTTCTTCTGCTTCTTCTGCAGAGCACTAGTTTCTCTGTACATGCCATTTTAGACCCAATTGATTTCTTAGCTTTACAAGCGATTCGAAAAGGCTTGGATGATTTGCCCGGTTCCAACTATTTTGCTTCCTGGGATTTCACTTCGGAGCCCTGTAACTTCGCCGGAGTTTACTGCGATGGAGATAAAGTGATCGCCTTGAATCTCGGTGATCCCAGAGCCGGAGCACCAGGGTTAACTGGAAACTTGGATCCTTCTATTGGAAAACTCTCTGCTCTTGCGGAGTTCACGGTGGTTCCGGGTCGGATAACTGGTCCATTGCCCGAAAGTTTTTCTCAGTTGAAGAAGCTGAGATTTCTAGGAGTTAGCCGGAACTTTCTCTCCGGTGATATTCCGGCGTCATTAGGCCTTCTCCGGGAGCTACAAACTCTTGATCTTAGTTTCAATCAGCTGACCGGGAGCATCCCTTGGGCTATTGGAGCTCTTCCGGCATTGTCCAACATTATACTGTGTCACAACCACTTGTCCGGTACGATCCCACCCTTCGTATCCCAAAGATTGACCCGTTTAGACCTTAAACACAACGCACTTTCAGGTACCCTTTTGCCGAATTCATTTCCTTCATCGCTTCAATACTTGTCATTGTCATGGAACCAGTTCACCGGTCCAGTAGATTATCAGTTGAGTCGGCTGAACCAGTTGAATTACCTCGATCTTAGCTTGAACCGATTCACCGGGTGCATTCCGGGTATTTTATTTACTTTTCCACTGACAAATCTTGAGCTGCAAAGGAATCAATTTTCGGGCCCGGTTTTACCCGTTTCAGAGGTGAGAATTCCGACGGTGGACATTAGCTTCAACAGGTTTTTCGGGGAGATATCTCCGTTGTTGTGTAATGTGGAGAATTTGTATCTGAACAATAACCGGTTTACGGGTGAGGTTCCGGCGTTGTTGGTGGAGCGTTTATTATCTTCAGGAATCCAAGTTTTATATTTACAGCATAATTTTCTGACGGGGATTGAGATAAATCCTAGGGTGGAAATTCCGGTGAGCAGTTCCTTGTGTTTGCAGTATAATTGCATGATTCCGCCGGTTGAGAGTGCTTGTCCTTTGAAAGCCGGGAAGCAGAAGAGTAGGCCTACAAATCAGTGTGTGGAGTGGAAGGGGCAGCAAAACAAGAATACTACTACTGGATAAATAAATCATCCATTATTCTTTCATTGAATTGAATTTCATTCTATATTTTTTTTATATATTAGTAAATATGCATAAAGGAGAGAAAAATCCCATCTCTGTGTGAAGCAGCCAAAAGAGTGACCAACAATTTTGGCATTTTATTTTTGTGGATGACACAAAATAGATCAATGCTGCTACTGATTGTTTGTTTTTCATTGGGTTACCCTTTTCCTCCTGATGCTTTTTCTCCACTTATTATATATAATGTTTGTTTGGGATACTCAACTGACACAGACAGACAAAAGTAACGTATACGTTACAAGTCAAATATTTATTTATTTTCCTGGATAAGTTGCAATACATACATTTAATTGTCGTCATCATTAATACATTACACCGTACCAATGAATCACAGTCACGCGAAGCCATAAATGCACAAAATTGAGCTGTAAATTCCATTAAACACCATCTATCTCAACAATTTGTATGTCAATTAATAATGTTGGTTGCATCTTAATTGTTATCTGATACAGTATTATTAACTGCTAAGGGGATTTTTTTTTGTTCACGTGGAAAAGAACAAGTTACTCCACTGTATTTTGTATAAACTGTTTTCATATAAAGCTAGAAAGATAAAAGAGAACCGTAGATGAAAATACTTGTATTGTATAATTATAAATATATGGAATAAAGATATATGTATTTATATGTGTATATATATAATTTTTTCTTTCTTTACGCAATCAAAAACATAATTTATATATTTTTGTTTGTATAAAGCGAGATGGAGAGCGATGAGCGAGATCATTTTGCTACGGGGCATAATTAAATCAAATTATTATTGTGACATTTAATTTAAATTAATCATTTGCTATTATCTTCAAGGAAAGAATCGAATGACAACATTTTGCTACCGGGCATAATTAAATCAAATTATTATTGTGACATTTAATTTAAATTAATCATTTGCTTTCCTACCAACCTACAAACATGTGGTTGCCAATGTCATTGGGCTTTACATGCATGAATAGTAATTTGCCCATTAGTGTATGCAATGTTAGATTTGTGCACTAAATTACTCTTTAATAATGTTAATATATGTACCTCAACTTCAGTACTTTCTCCAAAAATAATAATCTAGAGATAACGTATGTATACCTGATGTGATATTCTTTCACTCTTTTTAACTTGAACAATAAATACAATTGAATTCTTTTCATGTTTAAAGACATGAGAAAATCCAAACTTGTGAAATGATGTATTTTGTCAATATTAATAAGACTAAACAAAAACACATTTTCATGACAATGACTTCACCCTCTCATCAAAACCACGTTTCTTTAAACATCCAGCTCTTTAATTAGATTGAACATCCATGTCTCACACCCTCTTTTCCATTTTGAACTTCAACAACATATTTTATGTTTAAACTCCCTTCCATGCTCTAAACATTTTTTCAATCCTTAATTAATGCAAGCAACAAAGATCAATCCTTCGGTTTCAAAATATATTTCTTTTTTCATACAATATATCATTTTGAAGGAAAATCAAAATGCATACAAGTAAAAATAATAATTTATTTTGTTATATAAGACCTATCTTTTAAACTAAAATCATAGATTTAAAAGTTTTCTTTATATTTTTTTAAACTCGGTATCAAGGACGAAGTAAGACAAACAAATTGAGTATTCATGTGAGATCAGTGGCGGGAATGATGAGGATTTCTGTGAAGGGGGTTCGAAGTATAAAATAGTAAACACATAAAAATAAATGTATATGGAATACATGATATCAAAATTAAATGTGATTTATTTAATACACGTTGTATCCAAGTGGATTCACATGTATTTGAATACAAAGAAAATCTCGCTCACCACTCTCCCATGTACCTGATATCCAAGATACATGCAAATCACTTAAAATACATACAAGTATTTGTATCTAATATGTATTTAGTGTGATTCACATGTATCTGGTTCAACCCTTTCTCTATTTTTATATATCTAGTCACAAAATACATGTACTACTTAAAAAAAATATCTTAATTAATGATAAGATACATAAAAATTTAAAAGTAGGAATAATAATAGTATGTGTGATAGCGAAGTTTGTGTAATTATGTTTACGAAAACTTGGAATCCATGCTAATTTTCATATGGTGTTTAAGGATCTTGTTAATAGGAGACTATGCAGCCCAATTGCTATGGCAACCCTAAATAAACTTTTTTGGCCGAAACAGGTACTAGATATTTTAAAGAAAATTAAGAAATGTTGTTTAATTTGCTGCCTACTATAACCAAAGAGTATTTTTTTTTGTTGGTACTTGTACTGCCATACATGGTTTAATGTATGTATGTATATATAAGCGCTCAAAATTCAACTCAAATTCTAAACTAGTAGCTGGCGGCAATTAAATGAAAAGTGACGCGGCAAAACTAAATTTGACGATCCCAGTGAAACTGAATATCCAATAGAATAACAACACGTTGGCGATCCGCGTGAATCACCCTTTTCTCTCTATATATAAACAACCAAACCAATTTACTTCTCATTATCAACCTTATCTCAAATTCAAGCTTTCGAAAAGATATAAAAAAGGAGTTCTACAGTTGAAGCAAAGTCCGCTGGTGGTCGAGGTAAGGCCAAAGGTTCAAAAAAATCAGTGTCCAGATCTCAAAAAGCAGGTCTCCAATTCCCTGTTGGCCGTATTGCTAGGTATTTGAAGAAAGGTCGTTATGCTCAGCGTCTTGGCTCTGGTTCACCTATCTATCTCTCTGCTGTTCTTGAATATCTTGCTGCTGAGGTTCGTTCTTTTTTTTTAAAAAAAAAACAAAAAGATAGTATTACCCTTGGCTGATTTATTGAGATTTGCAGGTGCTAGAGCTTGCTGGGAATGCAGCTAGAGATAACAAGAAGAACAGGATTATTCCAAGGCATATACAACTGGCCGTGAGGAATGATGAGGAACTTAGCAAGTTGTTGGGGTCGGTCACCATTGCTAATGGTGGAGTTCTGCCCAATATTCACTCTAATTTGTTGCCCAAGAAGAATGGCAAGGGGAAAGTGGAGTCTGCATCTCAGTCTCAAGAGTTTTAAATTTTATGTTAAAATTATTTCTGTGAATGGGTTGTTTTTTATATAACATGTTTGCTTCTGTCTTGTCACCTGATTTGCTATTCCGTCTAACATCAACAATGAACTGAAACAAAATGTAGTTCCATTGAATATATATCCCATTGCATTTGGTGGTGTCTTATGTCCTTGTATCCATTTTTTTTCTTCTTGTATCCAAGTCCTTTGGAGTTTGGAACAACAACAAATGCGCGCATTTTTATACATCGTTAACCACAAAAGTAAAAAGAAAAAAAAAGAATTCTTTTAAACTGTCGTGTACTTTTGTGATTTTTCATACGGTATCTGTCGGACACGTCATAGTAAAGTTAGCAATGAGGCAAATATAGATTCCCACAAGGCATACGTCCGTAATTCATCTCCATAGATTTGCACTTCTGTATGTATATAATAATCATATGGAGTAGTAGTGTTTTGATGAGAAATGATGACCATTGCAGATGGAGCCCTAGATGACATGCAATGCTTGTTACAGAATGAGATAACTCATCTGTTTTTTGCACAAACAAACGATCGATTATTCCTATCCAAATTTCAATTACTGCGGGAGAGAGAGACAACAAACAAATACTCTATTCTACATGTTTAAGAAGAACAATCATGTGTGCATTTATCATTCTTGAGACACCCCCAAAGGGTGGACAATAGAAATGCCTTTTAACAGAATATTTTGTTAAATCGAGCTTCAAAACACTGCAACTTCTCATTAGAATTATAAATTTATGATACGACGATACAATAAAAGACATGCGCAATAAACATCTTCATACCCTCACATCCATAACATATGAAGAATTTAACTTCAACCAATTATATTAAACCAAATATAATTTAACAAAAGTATCCAAACAGCTCATTGGTGGTAAATATAACATTAAGAGGATTTCTGCACTGCAACACATGTAACGACTCAAGAGAATGTCATCACTGGTACCTGATGTCTGCGATGCTGCTTAAGAGGCACTAGCCATCGATTCTATAAGGAGCTTGTAACCTTCTGGGACAGCTGACTGTGTAAGCACACATTCTGCCAATGCAGGAACATCTGCATTAATGTCCAGAAATTTCGCCAGCAACAGTAGCAGATGGAAATCTGAGATTCGCTTCACAAAAGAAAGACTCTTTGTTCGATTGAAATGATCTTTCAATGCATTCATGCTCACTGGAATAATCCTGTTTTCAATGGGAAATGATGAAGAAAGTGGACCCTGCACATGAGATGAGACCAAATAAGAACCAAGTGCTTCAAATAAATATCACCAGTATGAAAGCAAAGGACACAAGACAGGGAGAAAGGGGTTGAAGGAACCTCTTAGCATCCATCCAACAATTTCTAATTGATACAACGCACATATGTGCCAAATTTATATCAAAAAGGAAAGGAAAAGAAAAATGATAAAATAACAGGTATCTTTATGAAACTGTCAAGGACATTCTGCAGGGTTTGATCTATTCCAAAACCACTAGGCAGGAACCTATTCCTAAGCCTTTATGCATCTCTTCCAGCTCCAGTTTTACATTAATATATATATATCAAAACTGAAAACTTCCACCAAGTCCTGGACTTTGAAAACTGGTAAAGCTGCCCTATTCCAAATCTAGTCGACATTGGATGTCACATGCTAGAAAACTCTTTCAAAATTATTTTGGATTCAAGACAGAAAACAGAAACAAAAGGAACATCACCCAGCACAGTGATTGATTTGAGGTTGGTCCAAGTGCAGAGACTGCTATTACATGATTCTTAAATGATTTGATTCAAATTAGGTTGCATATTCTTTCTCTCACTAACTAAACCTTATCACAGTTCATCAATTATGTCAGGTGATAAAAGCAAAGTGACTATTTTTCTCAGTATATCCTTAAAGAAACTGAGGATCACTCAGACACTCAAACTCCACTGAAGTCAACGATTGATGCAACATTAACAAACTCAAACTCCACTAAAGTCCACAATTGATGCAACATTAACAAGAGGCCATCTGAACAAACAGAGGAAGAATTTGCAATATTTTGAATTACAGTTTGGAATACATCAAAATATGCAAGTTTCATGTTGAGCACATACTACCACACCTTAAAGCAAGTGTACTACTCCCTCTGTCCCAATTAATGTGGTACCACTTTCCTTTTTAGTCCATCCTAAAAGGAATGTAATATTTCTATAATAATAAAGATAATTTATTAAAATCCCCCCCCCCCCCCCCCTTTGCCCTTAGCAAATTGATTAATAGCTACACAAATATCCAGTTTTAATTTAGACTACAAATTTCAAATGTCTTCCTTTTTCTTTAAGTTCATGTCAAGTTAAATGGAGTATAAGCATATTGTAATCTCTGTCCAAAGTCTTATGGCAAGACACTTAAAGTAATTTTACGAAGACCTCTCACTTGAAAGTATATCCCAACCGGTTAGATTTTAGAACCACAGTCAATAGCAACAACAGCTAGCACACTACTGTACTCCATCACCCACGCTATGGGTGACATCAATACCTCAACCAATTTATTTATCACATGATTGACATCAAGCGAGAGGGGATATAATTAGTGAATGAAAACTGAATGAAGAAGAATGAAGAATAACTCCTCAATGGAAAGATTTAATGCTATTGTTCCATGGTAATTTTCCAGGTCAATCATGCTCAAGCCTAAACGTTGAACAGTCCAATGACCATAGGGTAAAGTTCCCTAATTTCACACTTAAACCTATCCCTAGAAATATTCTTTTGACATTACAAAAATAAGCATAGATAAATGAGTTCATGTCTGCAGAAACATGCTTCATGTGAAGCGAAGACAGTGGAAAAAAGAAAACAAAGCAGAATTCTCCAACCGGGCTAACTAATGCAGCTAACAGAATGATGACAAGCTGAAAGCAAATCAGAGAAAAATATATGATGAAACATGCTAAATCACCTACTGAGGGGGGGGGGGGGGGCAAACTACATTACCCAAAAATCTTCAAAAAGGTTACGAATCAGAAAGGATGAGTTAGATGATCTAAAAGATGAGAAAAGTGATTAAGTCACTTGAGACTCAGCGTCCTTCTGATCTGCCTAGTTCTTATGATGTTCTCAAACTACACACGAAACCATAGAGTATTAGGTTCTATCATCACCGCCTAACAGGTTCAAATTGTAGGATGAAGTATATGGCAACACAAATGTCTACTTGGGGGCTTTGACCAACACCCGATTCGCTAAAACTACATAAAACACACAGCTACTTAAATTAAGCATGTGTTTTAATGCCGTAGTAAGGTTTCTCTATTCTCAACAGTTCCAACCAAAGACAATTAAAAAAGGCATCTTTTAATCAATACTTAGATGTTCTACCGCCAATTCTTACCAATAGTGTAGTATTTCTTCTGTTCAGTTCTTTTTCTCACTGCCTTCATTTTTCTCCTCATAGTATGATCATAAAGTTACTCACTTTATGCAATTTAAGGAAAGCAAACAAATGTAATTCATCTAGCAACTAATGGAGCACACAAAAAGGATTCAAAGAAAAAGCTATGCAATAAATCCAACGCACCTGGTGATCCGCAATCTTGACAACAACCAAGAAGAAGTCGTTATCAACTTCTCTTGTGTCCTTGACTCCTACCACCACATCTTTCTTCATCTTGGAAAGCTTTGGATCAATCTCATCCTTAACATCCGTCTCAAACCAGCCTTCCTTGAACAATCTCACACACATATCACTCATCTGAAAAGCCTCAAAATGTACATCGGCAGCGCCATCGTCATTCACCTCAAGCTTCACTATAGCGGTCACCCATTCCTTCAAATCACCCTCCGAATGTAACTCAGCTGCCTGTAAGACCTCTGCAGTTGACATAGTGTAATCCTTTTTATCCTGACTAATTGTCTGAGTAAATATAAACCCTACTTTCCTCATCCCTAATCCAATAGCTATAGCATCCACCAATTTCTCCTCATCAGGATCGCGTAGAAGCAACAAATTTTCCTCGGTCCCTTGCTGGGGCGGCTCATAAATAAAATGGACTTCCACTTTGCCTTCAGGGGATACTGTACCATACATAAAACCACCCCTTTTGACAGCAAAGGCGAGTGTTTCATTGACATAATGTTGAAAGGCATTGGCGGCATCACGATCGAAGGAAACGAGTTCGCAGTGAGGGTTCTCTTGTCTAGTAACTCGCATTTGTTTAGCAATTAGGTCGTCCATGGTCATCTTTCTACCGAATGAACCGGCGGGCTGTACGGTGGGACCGGGAATTGTGCGCTCACCCTGGTAAGCAAGATAAAGGATAGAACCGTGAGTAAGATTGAAAGAGGAGATGGGTGTATGAGGGTTGTCCATATCAGTGAAGCGAGACCAATCATCTGGGGTTTTAGCGAGCAAAAGGTTCTGATTGGAAGATAGGGTTTGCGATTGAACTGGAACTCGAAGTTGGGATTCGATTTGGGACTTGAGTTGGGCAATTGTGGCATGTGGGTTGTCAATTGTGACTCGCTCTAACCCATCTCTGCTTCTGATTCTGATCATCATCTTGGTTGTATTCCTATGGTGATTGATATGTTTAGTGCAGGTGAATCTGTATGGAAGTTGGGGAGGACCGTCGAAGAAGAAAGGAAGTAGAAACTTTAACTTTGGCTTGTAGAATCAATCAATACTCCATTTATATACTACTATTAACCAATAAGCAAAGCATAAATTCGTCTCCTATTCTATTTTGAATTTCTATTTCTATTCCTAATTAAACTTGGGCTCGGACAAGTTTTGGGCTGCAAAATCCTAATTTGATTTCATTACTAATTGGCACACACATAGCCCCTCTTTCAACTGACAGCATGGTGTTCTTTTTTTAATTGGAAAATACTCCGTGACTTATAGTTCTAAATTAAAGTTAAGATTAAATGTATAAAACTATCCTTTTGATCTTGTGATTTTATATATGTCACCTATAAAGTTAAAATTAAAATATTATAAAAATAAACATCATTCTTTTTTAAACAAACTAAAAAGGAAAAAAAGCTCTTCTTTTTCATGCCCACATGATTCTTTTATGTATTTATTTAATTCTTTCTTTCTTCTTCTTTCTTACTTTGAATAAACAATAATTTACTTTTTGGTTAATATGTAAAACATATTTGAGTTCTATGAAAATATTTGCTCATTGTATTTATTTTTTCTCTTTTCGCTTTTAAATTTTTGATGCCTACGTGTCAATTTCTCTAACTGTTAGCCTTTGATCTCTCTCTTTTATAGTCGTTCAAATTTTTTCGAGTATTAATTTTTGAAATTGTAGGTTATATATAATTTAGGTAAAAATTTGTATAATAGTAATTGATTGCAGGTATCAATAGTCACATTTAAGAAAATTATCTTAAATTATTCATGAAAAAAAAAGAGATTGATTCTAATTTTGTGGATTTTCCATCTAGAACTCTAAATTACTTATGTAAGTTCTTCTCGTTATCCGATTCAACTTATGTGTTTGCTATTGAGCATTTAAAAATTTCATGTGCAATCCTCATGTGACACTGAAAAAAAGAATTTGAAATGTACACAAATTTTGAGTGAATGAATACACAAATATGTATACATGAATGTAATGTATACATAAAGTTCACGATTGAAAAGAATATTCAATGTAGTGTATACATATTATAAGTGAATGAATACATTAAGTGTTTGATTCTTTTAACATGTATACAGTGGAGGGGATAACATAGCTATAAATATATATTAATTATAAGTGAATGAATACATAAAGTGTTTGATTTTTTAATATGTATACACTAGAGGGAATAATATAGCTATAAATGTATATCAATACTAAGTGAATGAATATACCATTTTTATTCATAAAGTGTTTGAAAACAGGTATGCATTTTTCAAAATAATTAATTGAGTGTATAATAGGTAAAAAAATTTATCCTTTCTTGATTTGTAAGAGTGGACAACTAAAAAAGAAAAAATTGACAAGTAATTAGGGACGGAGAAAGTATATATGTGTCATTTCCTCATTTTGATTTGGTAGGAAATGTTTTCACTTACATAAAAGTCATAATTCATTATGAAACTCGATTTTTTTTTATTATAAAAGTCACAACTCGTCATAAAACTCGCAATTATTCATAACAATCATAGCTCGTAAGTAAAAGTAAACACTCTTTCACTTAATATTCATATATTTAAAAAAAACCATCACTATAAATCCTTTTTTTTTATTATGTCATTATCAAATCTACCTGAACTTTATTATTTATTTAATAATACGTCTTTTAAAGTATCACCAATTTTGATCTACCTTTGTATTTTTTAAACAAACATCTTTACTCACCATAATTGTACTTGAGGAGTGACACAAGTTTGTGTTTCAATTTGTATAATTGGTTGTAGTTTAGAATAAACAGAAATATGAGGAGAGTGTGATTCAAAAAATCAATATATATGAGTATTAGTACTAGTATAATCACAATTAGAATAAAAGATGGATAAATGTGATGTGTTAAGTGGACAAAATGTTGCTTATTTGTTAATTGGTGATACTTCAACTTTTGTTCATAAAGACAAAAAGGTTAAGAAAATATTTAGAAGATGTAATATGAATGGAACAAAACTGATTTAGAGAAGATTAGATACATACAAAAAGAATAGGATTAGACAACAAAATAAATGATTTGCAAATGAAAGAATATAGAGATTTGAGAACTGACATAGAAAGCCTTTTCTTTGTCAACTCAACCCAACAACTATTGCACGTATAGTATGAGTTGATGTGAACCACACATGTTTATTTAGAGCTTATTTTAATGGTGAATTTGAATTAAGTTGAAATTATGTGATATATATAGCCAAATAAAAACTAATGGAGATGTCAATGCATATTCTAGTTTGTGGTTTTTGATGGTCCCACTCCCATTAACTTTTCTTGTTAATAAATACTACTTTTTTATATTTGACATATAAAAGTAGGGTCTACTTTATAGTGAAAGTTGGCATAACATTTTGAATTTGAACAAAACCATTTAATGGCCCATTCCCAAGACTTTGGATTTTTTCTTAATTAGCCCAGCCCGCCATACAACTTGTAGCCGTTGTTACTACTCCCTTTTTACGCTAAAATAATTTTCACCACAAAAAATTATAATTCACAGTATCCTTATTTAAATTAATTTTTAAAAACATGGCATGATAAATAAAAATAAACAGAGAAATATATAACGTGGAGCAATCATATCAATATTCAAAAAGATTTGTTATATTTATATGTTGATTATTAATTTTTTGTACCTTAAAAAACAATTAAATTGTAAATTAGCCAATGTTTGTCTTTGTAATTCATTTATTTTCCTTTGCAAATTAGTGTGTAAAGGGACAAAGATCTCAAATGGTTATGGGAAAAGCTGCATTTAGAATCCACCAACGGTCTGGATTCTCCTTTTCTATAATTTTATTTCAAAATATTACTAATTATCTGTGTGTCATTAATAAAGGCATCTTGTTAAAGATGTCGAAATTATTTAATTTGTACTAAAATAATTTATTTTTTCTTTTAAAGTGTATTTATTGAGGATGATTGGGTAATTAATCGTAGTACAAGTTACTCGATTAATTAAATTGTTCGATTATTGAAGAAAGTTGAGTGGCATTATTGAAATTGTTAAGTAATGAAAGGGGTTTTGTTGTCATTGGACATAAGAAATTTGAATGGAGTGGCCGTACCGTTTGTTTAAAACTTGAAAAAACAGGCTCTTCCTCGTTAAAATTTAAAAAAGGTCGAATTTATAGAGATAGAGAGAGAGAGCAATGACGGGGTTGTTAATGGTGACGACAAGGGGAGGAGGAAATGGGAAGAAGGATTCAAATGCGCAGCAGTTGTCTTTGTTGGATTTCATATTAGCAGGTCTAAGGAAATCAATGGTGTCTTGTCGTGTAGATCGACAAGAAGATGTTGTTTCTGCTGTGGAAATAGGTTGGCCCACCAATGTCCAGCATCTTACCCATGTAACTTTCGATCGATTTCATGGATTTCTGGGTCTTCCACTCGAGTTTCAAGTCCAAATCCCATGTAGAGTACCAAGTGCCAGGTTCTTTCTTATAGCTCAGACTCAAACTTTTTTTATCCTCAGTCTTACTCTACACTATTTCAAATAAGTACTTCTGTTTTCTGTTCGATTGAATAGTTGAGCAAACGCAGTAATTTAAAGCTCGCTGAATTTGTAACCAAATTTGCAGCGTCAGCGTGTTTGGGGTATCTGCAGAGTCAATGCAGTGTTGTTATGATACAAGGGGCAATAGTGTCCCAACTATTCTCTTGTTAATGCAACAACGTCTATACTCACAAAATGGTCTTAAGGTAAAAGAAAAACAAGAAATTTTCGTCCACCAAGTTATGTTATTGCCTTCTCACTGATTATGTGCGGACAGGCTGAAGGAATCTTCCGAATTAACCCAGAAAATAGCGAGGAGGAGCATGTAAGGGACCAGCTAAATAGAGGCATCGTGCCTGAAGACATGGACGTTCATTGCTTGGCTGGTCTCATCAAAGCCTGGTTCCGACAACTCCCATCAGGTGTGCTTGATGGGCTTTCACCACAACAGGTTTTGCAATGCAACACCGAGGAAGAATTCGTTGAGCTTGTGAAACAGCTTAAACCAACCGAGACTGCATTGCTTAACTGGGCAATTGATCTTATGGCTGATGTTGTTGAACAAGAGGATTCCAACAAAATGAATGCCAGAAATATTGCAATGGTTTTTGCTCCAAACATGACCCAGGTAAATGAATATGCAGTTGGTTGTATAAAGTATGAACATTTCTTACAAGGATTTGAAAAGCAAATTCATTTTTCTTCTTCTTCTGGAATTAGATGTCTGATCCATTAACAGCTCTCATGCACGCTGTTCAAGTGATGAACTTGCTCAAGACCCTGATCATGAAAACATTACGAGAGCGTGGAGAAGCAGAAGAGGGAGAATATTCACCCATGTCATCTCCTTCTTCTCGTAGACAAACGGATGAGGAATTCGACTCGCAACAAGAGATGGACACTAGCTGTGAATCAGCATCAGATGATGAGGACCAACATCGCTACAGCTACAACACGGAAGAGAGAGATGAAGTCGAGTCATTGAGTGAGATAGAAGAAAGCTTCTTGCGACAGTTGGATGAGAATGAGCATGCAAAAAATGACTTCAGGAAACAGTTGGAAGGAATCTTGGGCAGAGAAACTGCATCTACCGAAAATGGAGATTCTTCTTCTGACAGTAAAATCGACACTTCTGGCTTGAGCACTAGCGATGGTGAAGACTCAAGATACACTACTTGTGTTACTCTGGAAGAAAAAGTGGAGTCGAAGAGATCAAGTGCAAGCATGGAGGATGTCGACAGGATAGAGGTAGAATCTGCTGTTTCTGTGCAGTAGTTTATAGCTATGAGTGCTATTGAATCTTGCATTTTTTTTGGATGTAAAAAGTGTGTTGTTGTAGGCCTTGGGATGGTTTGCTTGTGAATCACTCGTGCTTGATTGATTTCTTTGTTTTGCTAGCTAGCTATAAGGATCTCTAACATCAATGGTGTACGAAAAAGGTTTGTTGATGAAGATTGAAAAAGTTATCAAGATTAATGATTTTATTTAAGAGAGAATAGTAGTGAAAATGGAAATAACTACTGTTGAAGTTGCTATACAAAAAAAAAAAAGATCTCTACAATGGTTTGAACTATTGCTTTACGTTTGTGTCTTCATGTAATAAGAAAAACAGTAGGAAGATTTTATGAAGCCAAGCATGTCTCTCAGAAGAGTCTATTTGTAAATGGAAACAGACAAAGCTGTTCTGTTTAGCTTCACTGAATATTTGTTGCAAAAGAAGGAAACAAGGAGCTGAAATTGACTAACAAGGACACAATGAAAACATCAGTTAATCTCAAATTAAAATCATCAACGGAAAATATGCACTCCAACTTTGTCTGACATCAATTGACGGTGAGTGTAAACTTAATGACAGTCATATCAATTAGAAGAATCAATGAATTTACAAATGTTACAGATTAGAGTGGTACAAGGGAACATTCAGTTGCTATGTCACTGCTAAGTGGGAGGCACTGGCTGCAGACTCCATATATAGTGAGTGGCTTAAGTATTTATTTTCTCTTTTAAGCTGAATGAAACCTTAAAACTTTTTCCCGTCTAGTTGGAAACCATTCATTCTATCATTTTGATTGTGAGTCGTAAGTTACATATACTGCAGAAACAAGTTCAATCATAACACCGAGTGTTGAAAACGGAAAAGCACCTTCTTACACAAACAACAAAAAGAATGGGAAGCTATATAGTGTGTGTTTAGGAGTTATAGCCTTGAAAAGTGAAAAGGACATCATGTTATCAAAATAAAAAAGAGAAGAGAAGGGGGCGTTCCGAGAATTGAACTCGGGACCCAATCATACCACTAGACCAAACGCCCTCATTGGGTTCATACCATTTTGAGATGAGTTGCCAACAAAGTTGTAGTTGTTGGAATTCGACATTATACTATTCCTTTAACTGCAACGAACTCTGCCCACCAATCACGTTGTAAATATTCCATATTGCCATGAATGCATCTCTCTGTTTTTGTTTAATGCCTTGCCTCCAATAACAAGGAATTTCATTCTTAATTTTTACAATTGTTTTTTCAATCAAATGCATAATAACATCAGCAGCTGTATGAATCATGTTCCAGTAATTTTCATCATCTAACATAACAAGTATTATTGCCCTTTATGGGATATATGTTTCTTCCTACTATTACAATCATAATTTATTTACATATATCCCATGTAAATCATAAGAATTTTTTCAGAAACCTCGTCTTCTATGGAGTTGTCAAATATCATCCTGATTTTCTTCTAAATGAATCAAAATTGCTCATATACAATCCTCCGCATAAAATCTACTGGTGCTGCACAAAAACACAAGTAGAAAGAGTTACAACCATTGCTTTCTAATATACTACGTTTTAGTAGTTCCTCATTTCCAAGAGTTTTTATGTTTTTTATTCTTTGGTCATTAAAAAGCTATCAGATTAACAATTCAGAATTAAAGCATACTAATTGGGAGTAAGGAGCCCTTATGCAAGACATTAACAATCACCAAATTAAGCATAGCAAAATTTTGCATATAAGATCCACTACATAATTATACAACTTCAGTACCTTAGATCCTTGGCTCAAGGGAAAAAAAATTATCACTCCAAAGCAGTAAATAACGGACATAAGGTTCTTCAAATTTTTATGTAAAAAATTATAGGGATGAGAGAAAAGCTACCTAATCCATTGGTGAACAATTTAAACTGCCCAAGTGCCTGCCGGACAAACATCTCAACCCCACTCACCACTGTAGCTCCAACCTCTGTAGCTTCCTGCAATAACCGTGTATTTCTAGGTGTGTAAACCGCATCAAATACTAGTTCGTATGATCTCAATGCCTCCTGAAACAATAGGATAATTGCGGAAAAGTTCAGAACGTTTGCTTTTTCTCATGCAAACAGAGAACATACATGTTAACTTTTATCGAAGACTATGCAAGAAAGACAACCTTTGAGATAGGAGTTTGATCAGACTTTGGCTGCATGCCCACAGCAGAAGCATTTGCAAGAATCATTCCCTTCTCAGGGCAGAAATCATTCAGATGTTCATATGGCAAAGCGTCACAGGATACTGCTGCAGCCAGAGCTTTTGCTCTCTCTATTCCAAGACAAAATTGCAATAAATGGAAGGAGACATATGAAAGAGCAAAAGATCACATATCCATATTCCTTAGGGGGATATGAGGTATTACCATATTTGCGGTTGAATATTACAACCCTTGCCCCTCTGCTTTTGGCACCAAAAGCAATAGCTCGCCCTGCACCACCTGCCCCAACTAATACAAACAATTTCCCAGCAATTGGAGAAACATTTGATGCATGGCCATTGGTCTTTTGTCTCTCTGTTTACACACAAAATTTAATGGAGGGTACATACCATGGATGGGCAGGGGGGGACTAAAATATTGAAAACAATGACGATAGTATTATTGTTATCAAATATGTAATGCAATTGAAGCCAGTACCACCTTCTCCTGCAGACACACTAAATTATGCTTTATCGGGTGGGTAGGGGGGACGGAGAGGAGAGACCAGGCCCATTTAAAAATCAGAATTGTCTTAAGTAAAAGATAAAAATATGTAATCATCTGAATTCTGGGGAAAAATTGCCTTGAAAAGAATTACATAATAGACCACTAAACTACATTGATTAAGATTTTCACTCGTACCTTTCTAGTAAGAGTATTAAAAAAGTTTTTAACTTCCAAATGAAGAATAATTGGTACCTCTAAGTGCATCTTCAATTGCCGTCACACAAGCCTCACAATCTGTATTATAACCAATGAGCTTGCCGTCAGAAGGCCTCCTTATAATTGTGTTTACAGCTCCTATAGACTGATTCCGAAGCATGATACAGTTAGAAAGTTTAAAAATAAGATAATTTAGCCACAAAATATTCTGGAATGGTTACACAGAAAGAAGTATTGTACAGAAATGGCATCTGAACTTTCAAGATACAGAGCTAATCTATATAACAAATTCTGCTTCCATGCAAGGACAATAGCATTCTAGTCCATGTGAGAATATATGAGAAACACAACTTCTTTCCTTTTTTTTTTTCTTTTCATAAGTTGATGGCCAACCAGGGTAATATCTCTACTTAGGCTTCAAGGCTAGTTATTCATTCGTCGATTTATGAAAATAAAACTGATAATATTCTGCTTAATATTCTAGGGTGATTCAAAGGTAGTACTTTCTGCTTCCTATGTTTATATGCAGGCGGCCTCTGTACACATATATAAACAAATTAAGTTGTCATTATATAAGAAGTATTAATGCTGAACTAGCTTCAGCAAAGACATCCCAAAAAGTTTGTGCTTTTATGGATTCTTCAACTCCCAAAACCTGAAGGTAAGTCACACAACACACCGATTTGCATACACCCTGTATGCTATATAAACCACATTGAGCTGCTGAGTTATGAAAATTGAACATGTTGATATTTTAAACAGGAAAAGCAAATTATAGAAAGCATAGTTTATGTATGTTAATCAAACCTTAGCAAGTGGATCAACTTCATCACAACACCGTACTGCTGCTTCCTTATGTGGGATACCAACACTACAATAGGCAGGCACGTTTGTATCAAAAGGAAATAAGCATGAAAAAACAAAGATTAGCTTAATTACCTGAAACCAGCATAGTCATTGCATGAGAAAACCCGAAAGAATTCCTTGACATTGTCAACTAGTAGTGGGACATATATTCCATTGTATCCTGTATGCCTAAAGGCGGGGTTGTGTAGAAGGGGTCCCTTGCTATGGCCAACAGGATTTGAGATAACACCAAAAATTCTAGTATCTGGGTTGACATATTGGAGTTTATAAACCTGTTTAATGGTGGTCAAAGATGGCAAGCCAGGGGTGTATTTGCCTCCCAAAGATCCACAAACAAAGAAAGCACCGTATTTTGGACCCAATAGTTGGCTTATAAGTCCTCTATCCCCTGCTGCCCTAACAATTAGAGGGACCTGAGAATGTGTAAGCATATGGAAAACTGGTGCAACGTCTGTAATATAAGCTACATCAATGACAAGTTTGATGATATCTGCTCCTGTGGACTGCAGGTTTATGATGGAATTACAAAGTGTGTCTTTAGTAGGGTTTCCACCATTGACATAAGTAGAAGCAATTATTTTGCTATTTGATCGGCTCTTCATCAATTCAGCAACCACTTGATGGCAGACAACCTAAAAAAACAAAAATTTAATTTAATTTTGATTTTCGGTTAGGTTTAAATGGATGGAAGTGAAATGACCTGAGTGTCGACTTCGACGAACTCAACGTCCAATTCCACAGCTAATTTGAGAACTTGGATACATGTTTTCTTGCCCTCAGAATTTATCGGAGATTTTGGCCTGACATATTAGAACAGCCAATAAATGCATGCGAGATGGATATAATATAATTAGTTAAGAGTAGTAATGACAAGTAGATGAGAGTAATAATAAATACTTTTTTTTTTCTCTCTCTCTCCACGAGTAGTGTGGGTTTCACGTGCCTTGAAATCAAACAAAAAAAGGGACTCACTCCATCTCCTCCTCACAAAATCTTAGCTAATCAAAATTAAACCCACCATTTCTGGATTACCTGAAAGAAACTATGGATGGTAAACTTCTTTGCTTGAGTAGTTCTTCAAGTTGTGAAATGTCAGAGAAAGTGAAGTCGTCAATGCAAAGCTCCACCAGATCTGCTCCTTCTTCTTTAGCTTTCTCTATACAACAAGTCATTTCCTCACAGCTCTCACATTCTAATCTTGTGTACACCACCAAGTCATTCTTCAAACCCATAATAATATCTCTCTCTTCTTTAACACTCCATCTCTCTCTTTTATATAGGGGAGGGAACATGTACAACACAAACCATGTGAGTACTTGCATATTTTATATAAAATACACACACACCTCAATCCACAAAAAACAAAAAACTTTTTGATATTATTATTACTAAAATAAGTTTAAACTAAATAACAAGATCAATAAAATTTAATCCTACTTAGAGACATTGTTTTTGTTACAGTATAAAATTACATTATGGGTGTTGGCTAACAATTCTTTCATCTTTTCTTTTTGCCAAATCAAGTTATCAACTATTCATATTACAATTTTTTCTTGCTTTAATTAGTTGGTGTTTCAATTGCTAATATTAAAAACGGAACTGGTATTTATTTATAAATATAATTGATGAGCAATTGAGTTGTCATCTGTTGGAAAAAGAAGTTTATGGCATGTGAAAAAAGGACAAAGACAATGTATGATTGAAGCCCAAAGTTTACTGTCATGAATGATATCACAATTATTGAAGAAAAATTGAATTAGTAAATTCTTATTTATGTGACAAATCCTAATTTTCAAGTGTGTTGTTGTGATATAGGAAAAAAGCTAGGTAGGTAGGACGAAGCTAACGCTGCAACCACCTACCCCTAGTATTTTGGAAGATATTTTTTAAACTGAATATCTTTATACAACGATGTATATTATTTTATAATAGATCAAATTAAATATTTTAAGAAATGTAATTAATAACATTATTCTTAAAGACTTATTAGAAACAGCCGACCCCACTGCTTACAAGTGACAATTTACTACACAACAGGTCCGATCCTCCAGCCTCGGGATAGGAAAAATTGCTCTCATTGATCACAACAATGTCCTACCTACTCTAAAATATCAATGGATCGGATCAAATCATTTTTTAAAATGAGTTTATTCAATAGACGAGAAAAGATTCTCAAATCCCAAATCATTTTTACTCTATCCTTTTAATTTTTATGTACTCTCTTTTAATTATTTTTGATAATTTGATATATATATATATATATATATGCCAATAATAATAACTACCTGTCAATTCTAAGTTAATACTATCATATTATTCTATTTGGATTCATTAATAGTAACTTTTATGTTCCAAAATACTTATTTCACTTTTTTTAAAAATTTAAGGGGGTAGTTTGAGAGCTAAGGGGAGGATAATCTTTATTATAATGATAATAATAATAATAATAACGACGTTAGGGTTTAATTTAATGATTCAAGTGGAATGTCACGGCCGTATGTTTAATTATAGGCACACCCTTCTAAGACCTTCCATCAATTATTGCTTTTAAATCTTGAAATGTAGACTCTACACAGACATCCACCTCCCACAGTCATAAACATTGATGTCAAAACTAGTTGGTCTTTACAAAATATATATATATATACTAGATAAGTATTGTCCGTGTAAGTACGGGCCTAATAACGTAAATTATGGTATTATTTTTTCGTGTTTAATTTGAATTGTCATCAGAGATCTAGGACCTAAGTTGTATTTTTATTTAAGAAATGTTAGAAAAAATAAAATAAAATATAACTGTTTTTATTTATATATAAATATATGGACACATGTAAGATTGTTCGATTTAGAAACTTCTTGATTTTCTTTTACAAAATGAAAAAGTCATCCTGCTTGTTTGGCACGGTATACACTCAAACAATAATCCACAATTTTATTAAATGTTTATTTTAATAAATTGATAATATTTATTTACTAAATCGGTTCAATACGATACTTTTCGATCGGTTCAGTCAATCTTTGATATTCTTTTTACACTACAACATACAATCATATATATCACACTTACCTATTACTTCCTTTAGTACACTTGCAAAATCAAATCCAAAAGTATGTGTCATTGACTCATTACACTATCCACCATCCACCATCACATGCTGCATGAATAACACAATGTATCACTAATCTACCAGTGTTGGTACTTAGAAGAGTTTGCACCATGAACACATAGATCATATGTAGGATATTGAAATGTTGTCCATGGCCACAATATTTCTTTGTTTTGTACTTTTCAAAGAGTTGCTTCCTATTTCAAAAAGAAAAAAAGAGATTAAACATTTTAAAAAGTTGTCATAAAGTAATGTTGATTTTGCATTGATTTAGACATTTGTAAACTGTGATAGCTGATTGTCCGTACCAAAGTTTATTACTATGGAGAACGTGTGTGTGAAAGAAAGCAAGACAACATATTTGATCAAATCAAGGAACAATGAGAAAAAACTACTGATGAGTACTACGCCCAATAGTCTAGACTTCAAATTATACTCCTTTAGAGAGGGGTCGAGGAGGAAACAAAGTTAATAAAGATCAAAAATTGTTTCTAAAATCTAAGAATACATCAAAAATTTAATTCTTTCTCAAAGATTCTAATATAAAAATTATTTTTGACATTTTCAAATAAATATAATAAGTAATAATAATATAATATCAGATGTTCCCGTGATTATTTTAACATCATGTCAAACATATATATTCGAATTAAATAACTAATTTAATGATATTCTTTTTTTAAAAAAATTTGAAAATCATTCAAGAAATAGATTAAAATTACGAGTCTCAATATATTAAAAAATTTTGTACTGATCCATCTATCCATCTGTAGATTAATTTTGAGTCCACTTATAAATATAGGTGTTAACAAACTAAAACAATGATCTACTTGATAAAAATTAGAATGAAACATTTCATTCTATACAAAATGATAAAAGGATAAAAAAATTATGACTTTACATTTTGCTTTTATATTCATTAAAATTAGGAGAATAATTTAGTATAGTAAGGAAATCACTTTTTTTAAATAACTAATTTATATACTTGATGGACGAATGTTTTATCTCAAATAATGAGAATTCAAAAATATTTACAAAAGTTAATATCATATATATTACAGTAATTTATCATAAGGTAGTTAAAATAATAATTTATATAACTTGCTTTAACTGATTTAAACTAATGATAAAATAATAATAATAATAATAAATATATCTTTCTCAATTAATGAGATAATGACATGTATGTTTTGGAATTATACATAAAACAGAACTCAAATAAATTAGATACTTCAAAAAATAATTTTACAATCCAAAAAACAAAAACAACGTCATGAAGTTTAAAAGTCTAAAAGAACAAAAGGAACTATCATAACATGCTCTGAATTTTTTGAAAATTTTATTCTTGAAGAGCTTGCTCACTGGATTCATTTCTTATGACTTAGGCCTTTTGAGAATTGCACTTGTGATTGATATTATTATTTAGGATGCAAATTATAAATAAAAGGTGACAAATTTATTGGTATATAACATGAGCGGGGAGAGAATTGAGAAATGCATGAAATGAAAAATGTGTTAGTGTCTATTTACTTGAAAAATATTATAATTTATAGTTTCTAGAATAATCATGTAACTTATGCAGAAAATTTAGACACTTGAAAAAATATTTTGACAAATTTAAAAATAGAATTTTAAAATGAAATATATATGAAATGACCATATTATCCTTGATTGTCCTCAACTTTATATTTTTATATAATAGAAAAATATTAAATTTTGATCCGTCTATTTTAATTTTAAATCAAACTTACGTAAGTTCACTCTTCATGTTAATATGTATGAAGTCAAATAAAAGTAAAAATTTGATTATATATTTTAATGAAGAACTGCTCATTTATAATCTAGTAAACATTTTTAGTTTACTTTAAATACAAATATACCATCTTATTTATTTTATTTGTAAAGTTACTTTTTGACACTTTTTATAATATTGTCCTTTTAATATCACATATAAGTTTGTTTATTCTTTAATTTCAATTTAATATATATTATTACATTTGATTATTTATTTTTAGGTATATTAATTAGAGCAAAAATAAGATTAAATGTAATTAACCATATTTTTTAAAATAATAATTTTTTATATTAAAACTGGCATTTGTACTAAGTATAATTAATGAATAGAAAAAATAGCAATAATTAAATTAAAGTGATAGTAAAATAGAGTAATGAGTAAATATCACAATTAGTCATTATAAAAATGAAGTAATAACAAAATGATATAATGGTAATCATAATATATAAAAATATTTCTAAAACTATTTAGTTTTCTTGTTATCATTTTTGAAAGATTTTTATTTGCGTGAAGTTTCGCTTCATAGAAAGATTTTCTAGAATTGTTTATTGTTCTTGCTATATTTCTTAATAAATTCTTGTTAGAATGAAATCATATTTTTATTCGTGGTTGTCTTAAATATAAATATATCATTCTATTCATTTTATTTGTAAAATTATTTTAAACATCTTTTTCTTTATTTTAATCTAATATATATTATTAATTGTATCATACATATTTATTTTCAAGTATATTCATTAGAGTTAAACTAAAGGTGAAAATAATTAATTCATAGTGTATTTTTATATTAAAGTAGACATTTTTTATAAGCATAATGAATAGAAAAAATATCAAGAGTTAAATTAAACTATTAAAGTAATAGTAAAATAGAGTAATAATGAATAGATATTACAATGACTCACAAAAAAAAGTGAAGTAATAACAAAATAAATTAATTAAATAACTCATGCCCATTAATCAAATTAATTAATTAAGATTTTAATTCAGGTTTGGTGATAAGAGTATATAGAAAGGGAGAGTATTGCAATTTATTACTCATTTCAAATGAAAAACAGCAAGTAGATTGTTGCCTAACCGATATTTTTTCCTCTTAAAAGATGATTGATCGTGAAAACTATATTTCATAGAATATTTGCTACTACTTAAGTTGTTTAGCTGCACATTCACTCTATTTCAAGTTAGTTACTTATATAAAACCCTTTATACTTTTGATCAAGTTTTCAAGACTATTTTCAAAACTACTCCCATAAAGCCTTTTCTATGAGCTCAGTTTAACCTTGGTCCACTACTTGTTTTCAAGATGATACTCATAAAATATAACTTGATTTTGAGATGACTGACACATATCTTAACATAACACCATTGGTTCATGCTTCACGTTCTAAAACTCAAATCTTCTCCCCCCAATATAAGCCCCTTCTAACCTTATTGGTGTAAGCATGTTTCTCTTAATCATAATGTACTTACTACACTATAAAAGGATAATTCTGATCAATGCAACTCAGAGAAAACTTTTGGGTGAGGCCAATCTTGATCAGTACTGTTCAAGCCGTTGGATTATGAGATTCACTGCTGCATTTGCTGATGAGAATGCTCCATGAAAGCTTTCTTGATAGGATATGGATTCCAAATCTCCAGCCATCGTTAACAGTATCTCACCTATGTCACTTTTATTTTCCAGTAATGATCTGTAGAATGAATTTGCAGCAATTCTGCTAATCTCAATATTTGTTTCCTCTGGACAATATTCATCATCCAACCACTTGTTAAGAGCAGTTTGCAGCCATTCAGATTCCTGTTAAATGCTACAAGTTCTTGAGCCATGAATTTCAATAGACAATATGCTAATTGTGCTTTACTCACTGCATATTTAACCAGATCAATCAGAAATCTCTGCATTGTTATTCTAAAACTGATAAGGAAGAGGGAGCCAAAAATAGTAAGCAAGAGAAAGGCGTAAAAAGGTTGAACTCTTATCTAGGATTATGAATTTCAAAACATGTGCAGACGCAGAAGAAGGATCCTGAACACAATACAATAAGAGAGGATATGAATTATATCCCTTTTGCTTCAATGGGAGTAGAAAGGAACATATCACAGCCAGCTATACCAAGATTTTGCAACATCACAACATTAGCAAGCATTCTAAGATGAAATTCCATCACGCCAAGCTATATAGTATAACACAATATCCACAACTTAGGTTCAACACTAAAGGTAACTGAAATGGCATCTTAAAGGTATTCAGTAAATAGATTTCCACCCTAAATAAAACTTGCCAGATCATTATTAGGAAAGAAAAACAGCTCAATTTAAGGACACCTTATAGCATGTGAAGGAAGCCCTACTCCTCTTGCTAATGTTCCCAGGATAAACCCAACAACCATGCCACATATGTACAAAAGATCTAAAATGACAATTCACCCTCGTGTAATGGATAAAGATAACTGAGCGAGCATCAAAAGCAATCAAAGTACTGACACATACTTTTGTGCTACATCGTTATATTATGTAGATTCAGACGCTCAACATCCAGACCACGCTTAGCTCGATTTCCAGTCTGTACTTAGCAGCTTCAGCGGTGAGTCCTCATGGTTCGAGGACGAGAGAAGTGCTTTTACTTTTGTATTTATTTTTCAGTTTCAGAATTTTCAGAGTTAGCTGGGGGCATGTCTTTGCAACTCAGATCAGCTAAAGGCTTTGAGACATAGATTAGATTCAGCTTGAGTTGTTAGTGTTGTTTTCCGTCATCACTATACTTTTCATATATTTTATATATATTCAGATATTTTGGGCTTTTTCACCATTTCAGATATTAAACTATTTTTAGCTTCCGCATAGTGCATGCTTTAATTGAACTTGTATTGATATGCCATGACATGTGTTAGCTTGGGGTCACTTGTGACATTAAGCAGCGTTTTGCATCTAGCCTTGGGGGCGTGATAAGCCTACATTTTTTTGGGATAACACTACGCCCCAAACATTTTGGTCTATAATATACCAAGCAATTCAGGATTTGAGTGACCACGTAGAGGACTACCAAGAAAACTACGCCGGCATGCATATATGGTTGCTAAAAGCCAGATCCTCTTAACAATAACAACAGAAGGTAACTTAAGATATATAATTGCATTTTAATGGGTAATACACAAAGTAGAATCTCTTAGTTTTAAATTGCAAGGATAAGGTTTCCACAAGTCAGTGAGCATCAAATTCTTGCTACAGAACCAAGTAAGTAGTGCTAATTAACAGAGGTTGGATCCATAAGCTTATGTGTTGGCTTCATCGGACCTTGTATATTTGTTAAAAGAAGTTGAGTAAATAATTACAAAGATGAGCATTAAATGGGGATTTGGTAGAATAAAATTTCGGATTGAGAAACGAGCAGGTGTTACCTCCAAGGCTTTGGAAGGTTGTAGCCACTGTTGAGGAACCCTAAGATCTTCAATTAGCTGCTCAGAGTCGTAGTCTCCATTGGTTTGAGCATTTAAAAGCGGGAGTCTTGCTCTAATTCTATCGACAGAAAGTATACATTGATGAATAGATGGGTGTACGATTTCACGACGTGTAATTGGTTGGAGTTGGACATTAACATGAAGTTGTGAGAGGCCAAGACAGTAGCAGCCTGAGACTGTGAGCAGTGGCCACGCCATTTTTCTTCTTCTCTTTGTTTGGATAAACAAAACCAAGTGTGTCCACACATTTTTATATTTATTTGATTTTGGTTTTAAAATAAAAGCATAGGAGGAATACTATACTAGCTGGCGGTATTATTAAAGGGATAAGGGAAACAGCACAAAAAAATGGCCGCCGCAAACAGCTGGTTCTCGGTGCTCACCTCCACCGGCGGCTATCTTACATCTCACCGTCTCTTTTCAACATCACTAACATCCTCTTCTTTCTTCATTCCCCAAAATCAAAACTATAAGAGGCAAGTTCTCAACAAGTCATCCTCCTCTCCTCCTGAGGTAAAATCAATGTTTCTACTTGTCATCTTTTTTCTTCATTTTGGATTTTTATTCATGTCAAATTAGTATGTCAATCAAATGGACCACTTTGCGCATTTTGATTATTCTTTTCTTGGCCAAAGATTGCAACTTTTCTACTGTTTTATCCTCAAAGTATTTACTTTTCTGAAGTAAAACAATGTTATTGAAGTGGAAAATCTGATAAAGTAGAGAGTCTATTAAACTACTATACATACAGCAACCTCATTGGTGCACCAAAGAGAAACTAGCGACAAAAGGATAATCCTCAAATGTACAAACACAATTTCAAATGAAGTCAAGTGGAATGACTTAACATGCTATGCACCTTCTTTTCTGATATTATTTGAGCTTTCAATCTGATTTTCTGTTTATATTGTAATGGAGTTCTCATTTATTGGTTGTTTCTCAATAATTCTTCCCTGCTTCATTTTGGTTAGTAAGAAGTAGTCTAACTAATTAGATAACATTCATAGTGTTTACTGCGGAATTACACATATATGCATGTGTTTTTACATTATATATACACACACACTTTAATTTTTTTTATTTCTAATTAGATTACATTCGTAGTGGCTCTGATACCATTAGGCCCAAGGTCTATTTCATAGAGGATAACCCCAATTCAATTGTTTATCCAATGTTGGGTCCCTATCTTATATTGTTCACGCTCTTGTTGTCCAGTCCTAGTGGGCGGGGGGTTTTGAGTCCCATATCGGCGGTGTGTGGGTCTTTTGGTCTCCTTATGCTGTCTTAGGCAGTTCTCACCTCATGAGCTAGCTTTTTGGGGTTAAGTTAGGCCTAAGTTTCATTTCTTTATCAATGTTGAGTCCCAGATCAGTATACTATGTGTTACTTTTTGAACATTTTTTTTTTGAACTTTATGTTTCTTGGTCTCCTTATATGGTGTTAGAGAAATGTTTACCTCATGAGCTAGTTTTTGGGATTGATTTCCATTTGCTTGTCCATGATCCGATGTCCAACCATTGGTGTGAGGTGTATGTGTGCGTGTATCCATGTGTGAAGAAGACTCACATCGATGGCGAAGGGGCTGGCAGTCTCTTATATGGCTTGGGTAATCCTGACCTCTTGAGCTAGCCGTTGGGGTTGAGTTAGGCTCAAGGCCCATTTCATAAACAAGAGTAACTTTAATTTTGAAACTTATATTTCCCGAAATCAGATAAGAAACGACGAATGGAGAGAAGTCCAGAAATTTAGGTGAATGAGAAGGTCACATCAATTTTACAGTGCCAAAAAATGTTTGTGTATATTTTTGCTTGTATTCACTTATTTAACCTCTTGCATGCTTTTTATGATCCAAAAGAGATAATGAATGTCCCCTGAAATCGGAATTAAGATAAGTTGAAAGCATAATTTTGTGTTTACTGGTTTTGTTACTCGATGATAAAGATTGAAAGAAGTATTTTGTGAAGCAGACATCAACACAAGCTTTAAATATGATGATCTCTTACAATGAAACCACCTTTTCTTGTTGGTCCCTAAAACATGATTCAGTTTGAATTGTTGTTATCTGTACTGGGTGTTCTTATGGTTATGCTCATTGGAGCAAGTCATTTTACTTTCTTTCAATTCAGGGAAAAAGTATTTCCTTGTTGTTTATGAATTAAAGTTCTACTAAATAAGCAAGCCATGGATTCAGAAAGTAGCTGGTAAACAGAAGTTTTCACGGAGATCAAAAAATGAAGGGCCTTTTGCAAATGCAGATGGCAGGAGCAGTACAAGTGAAAACGGACGATCTCAATCAACAGCAATTAAATCATTTGGTCTGCAGAAAAAAGGGAAAGGAGTTCTGTTAGATTCGAAGGACCAGCAGGTAAGAAATACAACTGCTTCTCTCCTTTTATTTTGGTGATTTAGATCATTCCGTCTGAAAAACTTGAAATTGGCTTCATGACAAATAAAGCGGGGTATTCTTTTTTTTTAAAAAAAAACAATAAACAAACTATTTGCTAAGGTAATTCAATTTTAAAAAATAAAATAATTTGGGTGATAATTAGCGAAGGCTTTATCCAAGAATTTAAGATTATGAACAAAGACTCATGCCTACTTGTATGGTCACACCTTATTTATCAACCATTCTGAAGATTCTCACCAGATACTCTACCATTGATTTTTTTTTTTACAATATCTCCCACATAATTATATCTCATTACCATTGTGTTTACAAATGCTTGCCAACTGAATGCAAACATTGCTGTCAAGTTCTTTGACTCTACTATGTGCCAAAAACTATTGTTTTCAATTGTGCTATACCACTGAACCTAAATTGGGTTTCTTTCCAGGTAGAAACTGGCAGCATTCAAGATGCAGCTTTTCTTAATGCCGTTGTGAAGGTGAATATATTTAATACATAACAATGTTGTAATTATGCCATTTGTTTGGATGCCTCATTCCAGGAAACTATCAACTTCAGTACTCGTCTTATCCTTAGTTGCTTAGAAAAAGAAATTCATGAAATAACCTCATGTATGATGTCTCCTTAACGTTTTGAATCAACAGTTGCTTCACTGGGCATTCGTAAGGTTGCTGTTGTCCCTGTCCCACATGAAATTATTTTCTTATTGTTTGGTTCTTCCTGTTGAAAGATAATAAAAAGTATACTTCAAATATACTTATGTAGCACTTAGAATGGTGTACACCCAATAGATAGTCTATCTTACCCAGTTTGATTTTTGGCATCAATAGGTCTGTCAAAATTGCTTTCAACATGTCTGCAAGTGCACTTGTGAATGGCTTTTAAATGGATTGCATGATAGTTTTAGTAGTGTTTACTCATTTTCCTTCATTCCATGTTGTTTGCTTCAAGGTTTACTGTACACATACTGCTCCAGATTATTCCCTTCCTTGGCAGAAACAAAGACAATTCACAAGTACTGGAAGGTATGCTCTTCCTCATTTCTAGCTACTTCAAAATTGTGGGAAATTTCCTAGGAAGATTTGTTCTGTAATGCATTATTTACTTTGAATTTTTTTTTTTAAATAGTTCTATAATGTGTTTATTTTCTGACATTGTCTACTATATCTGGTAGGCTGATCCTGTTAAGGGGGGGGGGGGTCGGGATAGCCTACAAGTCTGACTTTAGTTTGATTCATACAGTGCTTTCATGATTGGTGATGGGAAGCTCTTGACGAATGCACATTGTGTTGAACATGATACACAGGTACCTCTGAGGTTTTAATCTTCCCTTTATAAGTATACAAATTCTTATTATTTACGCCCCTCTCTCCTCTAAATTGAATAAAAGGATGTCTCTAATACAATTTGGTGTCAACCAATATTCAGAACAAGTATTTTAGGTTATTTTATGTACCTTCAGGTGTGGGTATACAGATTTATCCTTTCCCCTCCCATTGTGAACAATGTATCTTAGTCATCTAAAACATGGTCTATCAAACCAAAACTGGACGTCCACACTGACCCGAGAAAACATGCATTACTACATTTACGGAAAAAAACTTTTTATTAGTACTTTCTTTAAAGGGCAAAGGAGGTCAGATTTTTTTCTTTTTCTTTTATTTCATAAATGATTAATAACAGCTTGGGATGAGTATAGAGAAAAGGTAAATTTGAACTTTGCCATCCATATATTTATGGCTTTGTGATATGCCATCCACAGTTTTAGGATCGGACTCCACGTCCAACTATTGAAATTTATTTCACTTTGTCTCCTCACCCTTTCACCTGTGAAAACCTAGTGGGAAGGCAAGACTAAAGATTTGTGGTCATTTTTTCCAAATTATCTGGACAAGGCTTTATGACTTCCCAGATAGGAAACTAGAAACAGAAAGGTAAGTGCAGCTCTTTTACCCTCAATTTTGTAGTTTTTTTTACTAGAAAAATGTGGATGGCAAAGTGAAGGGCTGAAGGCTTAGAAACTTTGGACGACATTCTGCAAAATTAAAAAAAAAAAAAGGAGGATAGAAAATGCATCTTTTCCTTCAAAGAAACATAATTTTGATTATCTAGCTCATATCCGATCCAACCTATCCCATAAAGAATTGATCACCGGCAGTCCATATTAGCTAATCTAAGTCCATTTTGTTTACTAATCAATCCATTGTATTTTTGGGATAATATATATCTCCACATTACCACCTGCACTTTTATGACACGCTCATCTCAAGTATATACATAGTGGTCAACTTTGTATTCAGTATTCACTATTGTTGAACACCTGCTATATAGGTGGTCTTCCATCAGTCAAATGAGTAACTATATTTCTACACCATCTGCCTTTCAAATGCTGGTTTTTAGCTTAATTAATATTTTTGGTGACAGGTCAAAGTGAAGAAAAGGGGAGATGACACAAAATACGTTGCTAAGGTATGCTTTTCATGATAAGTTTTAAATGCCTGCATCACTTAGAAATCATTCTAGTGTTATAAATAGTAGTTTTAAGGGTGCAACTATGACGAGGTAGGTTGACAACTTAGACCAAAGTAACCTAATTATGTGGTGCTTAATTCTCATCATGTATGGCATGTAGGTTCTAGCTAGAGGGGTAGCGTGTGACTTAGCTTTGCTATCCGTGGAAAGCAAGGAATTTTGGGAGGCAGCTGAGCCCCTTAGTTTTGGACGGTTGCCTCGTCTGCAGGTACTTCTCATTTGTCGATTATATTTTTTAAAAAGCTGTTCCACGGGTAACTTCACATGTGTTTTTTCCCCTGAAGACGTACTTTCTCGTTTTCATGTTGGTCTAAATTTGTCAAAGAAATTGGGATAAGCCAACAACACCCTTTGCAAGTGTTCATACTGAATAAAGTTCCCACCTATATAATTGATGTCTGCTTGCTATGTTAGTCAATTGCACTTGATCTTGGATAAATTAAGTTTGTGGATGTCCTATCCTTGAGTCGAGATTTGTCTACGATATGTATGATTATGTGAATTCTTTAATTGTATGGCAACAACACATTTGATAGTAAGCTTCTACAATTGATATCCAAGCAAATGCTTAGCTTTTTATTCAGTGGGATTATACCTTCAAAGAAAGAATATTATATTTATTCTACATTTGTTCTCAGAGAAAATACAACAACATACCCAGTATAGTTACACAAGTGGGGTCTGAGGAGGTTAAAGTCTATGCATACCTTACCTCTACCTTGTCAGCCTCTCACACCTTCTTACTGGGTGTCTGTGCATTTCCTCCGTGCCCAAATCATCTCAGTCTAGCCTCCCGCATCTTGTCCGCCACAGAGGCCATTTCCACCTTGGCCCGAGTATCTTTTTTTCCAACCATATCTCTTCTAGTAAGCTCGCACATCCATCTTAACATACTCATTTCCGCAATTGTCATCTTCTGGACATGAGAGTTCTTGACTAGCCAACAGTCCACCCCATATAACAAATCAGACTAACTACTTCTCTGTAGAACTTATGTTTTAAGTCTTATTGGCAGCTTTTTATTACATAAGACGCCAAATGCTAGCCTCCATTTCAACCTCCCCGCACCAGTGCGATGTATGCCATCTTCGTCAATCTCCCCATTGCCTTGGATAATAGCCCCTATGTACTTGAAACTCCCTTTCTTGGAGATGACTTGACAATCCAACCTCACTTCCAAGACAGCGGTCAGCTACACGATGCACTTCACTGAACTTGCTTAGTCTTATACCTTTAGGGGTCGTTTGGTGTGAGGAATAAGAATAAATAGTCATGAGAGAAAAAGTTCTGGGATAATATTTTGGTTTTGTCATGTTTGGGATAACTTATCCCACCATTTATGCCATAGTGATGGGATAAGTTACCCCATGTACTTTATCAAACAAAAAAAAAGTTATCCCATATACATGGTGGGATAAATTATCCCTGAATAACTAATCCCAGGATAATTAATCATGGGATAACCTGTTCCCAACCAAACGGCCCCTTAGATTCTAGGGTTTGTCTCCAACCCTCATCTTGTCGTTAATCCTATGCGTCTCATCAACCTATACAATATCATTGACAAATAACATGCACCAAGACACCTGCCCTTGAATGTGTTGCATAATCCATCACCAAAGTTAATAAAAAGGGGCTAAGAGTCGATCCCTGATGCAACCCCATTACAACTGAAAGTGACTGTAGTCTCCTCCCACTACCCTCATCCGGATCTTAGCTCCATCATACATGTCCTTAATCATATATTATTATAAGAGGGAACAAAAAAGTTAAAAGTTGAATTACGATTTTACCCTTATTATAAATTAAAATATTATAAAAATATTTAACTATTTAATTTAAATATTAAGTTACATTATTTTATGGAAATGTTAATGACTTTTGCACTTCTTTAGAATAATTCTTAATTAAAATATCTAATTTAATTTATTTTCTTGAATTATTTACCCTTTAAATAGATACATGTATATGATTTATCTTCTAAATTAATTTATGTTCTTCATTAATATTTGTCTTAAATTTTTGTAACACTTGACCTTTCAACTTTGTAAGTGAATCTTCATATTCCAAAGCTATATTTTTTCCTATAAATACAATCTTTTAACATTATTTTTATAGGAAGATTTATATGTGATACAATTTTTGTGTGGAAGACTAGAGAAGCTTTAATCAAGTGAAGAAAATTTCAAGGCAAGAAAATTTATGTCAAGATTACAAGGCATAGTATGATTCTACTAAAGTATCGAAGCTTGATGTATTTTTTTTTTTACTTATTTGTCGAGATTGGAACTATGGTAAGACCCCGCCATTTATGTAGTTAAATATCACTTCCATTAACTTGTCTTTCAAATATTTTAATTTTTTATGTTCAAAAGTTGAATGTTTATTACTAAAACTTTGTTTCAATTTGCATTATCAAGAAAAAACAGGAAAAAGATTGTCTTAGAATTTTTCTATTTTTCGTTGGTTGCGTTATGCTAAACTTGCTCCTACATATGATACTTTATCTTTGTATTTGTAATTTTGTTTTAAGAATATATTTGATTGAAGGGTGTGTTTTTTGTTTTAGAAAATGAGACAAATACAATCATAAAAATAGTGTATAAGACATGCAAAACAATTAATGCCTACAAGATTTTCTAATTTCAAATTATTAATAATTACGTTTATGCATTTTAAATTTTAAATATTTGTAAAGAATCATTCTTACATGTGCTTGTGGATAAAATCTATAGTTTTTCGACAATTTTCATTAAAATTATCATGAGATCCAAATCCCAAAGTCAAAAAAATGATACACCAAAATGCTTAAGAAGTTAGAAGATCTTCTATCCTTTGACCAAATATTGCTCCTATTAATTTTTTAACAAAAAAATTTAAAATATATTTTAACAAACTTTTAATTGTAAGAATACTAATATTGTCATTTTGACTCTCCATTAAATTAAAATCTAATTTATTTAATTAAATATAAATATTTTATTTGTATAATTACATAATTTAAATATCAATCATTGCACTTTAAATCTTAGTTATTTCCTTCTAATAAGTTTTTTATTTATAAATTTGAATTACTTAATTGCCTTCTACTTAATGAGAAGGAGAATTTCATCTTTTACTAATTAATGTCAAACATTTTATCTTCTTGAAATGTATAAATATTAATTTAATTTCAACATTTTTATGAGACAAAAAAGACATTTTAAGAAAGTTAATCATAAGATAGTGTGCCTCCATTTTTGTTTTTGCTACTTTATTTTATCTTTTAAAACAAAAATTATTTATTATTCATCCTTATGAAGTAAACGTGCAACGCACGTTTCGGAAACTAGTATCTCTAATATACATGATTGGAACACCTCTGTTTCCAAACATCCACGTAGAACCTCTATCAGAACTAATTGTAAGCTTTTTCTAGCTCAATGAACACCATATGCAAGTTCTTTTTCCTATCCCTATACTGCTCCGCCAATGGCTTCCGTAGTCGATCAAGCGTTCAAACACTGCTGTCTTTGCCACCGTCACTGATTTTCAATAAAAATCTTTGAAAGAAATTTTGGGAAGAGCCAATTTTGGACTTATGATCACTATAACATAATCTTGTTGCCTTTTTGTTTGTTATTTGATGTTTGTAGAACCTCTGTTAATACATATTTGGTGTTGCTGGCATAACTTTTATTTTTCCATGGAATGTAAAAACCGTGACATATTAAAGAACTCTTATCTCTAGCTGAATCTGATGAAACACATATAGCTTATATATTAAGCTGGTCCTTTTCCTTTTGCAGGATGCTGTAACTGTGGTTGGCTATCCACTTGGAGGAGATACAATCTCTGTAACAAAGGGGGTGGTGTCAAGAATTGAGGTTTGTTTATGTTCACCTCTCATAGTATTAGTTTATTCCTTAGCTGATTAATGACAGACCTGTAGATGTTTTTCCCTACCTTAAGAATTTAGATAGTACTCTTTGACCAATGCGGTCCTTTGCCTTTTCCTAGGTATACTATAACTTGTTGTTCTCGTTTACTGATGAATGGTTTTGTCCTCATCATGTCATGATCTATCCAATATTAAAGGGTATTGATTGCTACAACTTAGATTAATAAATGGATAGTGTTAGGAAAAGAAACTTTCTTAAATCATGCACAATAGTCAACCTTGGCCAATGCATAAACTGTTTACAGTTATAACGTCTAATTTTGTAGATTCTCTTGCCAAAAACAGGAACCTATACTTAAAAGGGGTTTATCCACTATTAATCAGGTTTCATGATCCTAAATCAAAATAACAATTGCATAACCTAGTAAACGTAAATATTGATCTTCCATCAGTGACCTGCAATTAAGCATGTTGATTTGCCTTGAGAAAATGCAAGGTACTTTTATAGAGATTCTTCGTTGTTGTGATCGTTTTCCTCTGTTTTGTTACATTCAAACCCAATTACACCCTTATTTCCCACTTTTTAAGGTTGTGGTTACGGTTCAGAGTATTGAAGCATATAGTTGTTCGCTTGAATTCCAGTCAGTTCTATAGGTTGGAGAACAGTTGATTATCACAACTAGACAATCTTCTGTTTGCTACTAGTGTTAGATACAGCCTGATTTTGATTTCCTAGATATTGATTAAAAGTGCTAACTCATAGGTTGGTCTTCATCAATAGGTTACATCATATGCTAATGGATCATCTGAGCTGCTGGGCATTCAAATAGATGCAGCAATAAATCCTGGTAAATGGATGTTGAAATAAGACCGTTCCTATAATCAGCCCGTAGAAATTTACTCTTATCAATCTTGTATTAGAACTTATCCATGCTTACATACTCGGATCTATAGTTGTATTTTTTCTTGCTTTAATATAGTTGCTGCTACTAATGGCAAGACTTTTAGGTAATAGTGGTGGTCCTGCATTCAATGATGACGGAGATTGCATTGGAGTTGCATTTCAGGTAGTTGCTTGTCAGATTTGGATAATGGTTATTCATGTGACCAGATTCTTGCTTCTTTGGGCTTGCCACTTTAGTTTACACAGTCCTCTCTTTTAGGGAACTTTGGTAATGCAACTAGTTTGAAATGATTACTTAATCACATAATTGAAGTAGTTTATTTTATTGCTGCTGTTATCTTCATCTGTTTTAAAAGACATTCTGATTCTAATTTAAGAGCTCGCCCCAAGGCAAACCATAATACTATCGCTTGGCCAACTAGGGGTGGTAACATGCTTATGGTCATGAGCTCTATCAACAGTTCTTCAAATCACTTTTTGTATTTGACACTAGTTTTTTTAATTTTGCTTGATCTACTTATTGAATGAGTTCAATAACTCCTCAGGGTATAAAATGTTTCCTAGTGCATTTGCCTTAAAAACCATGATGATCAGCATACTGTTCTTCCACTATGTTTGACAAAGTTATGATCTTCTTCAAGAATCTCAAGTTATTTGTTTTTTACTTTATGTGTTGCTTTCATATTTTCTATTGCTTACCCAACAACTTCTTTAGGTTTACAGATCCGATGATGCTGAAAATATTGGTTATGTAATACCTACTACAGTTGTATCTCATTTTTTGGAAGACTACGAGAGGAATGGGAAGTATTGCGGTGAGTCTGTCTCCTTTTCAGGAAGTATCTGCTCATTCAGGCCACCTAAATGGCTATGGATTTGCAAACAGTCTGTTTTGTTTCCAGCTACACAGTTTAACGAAGATTATCTATTTTCTTGGATTAGATTATGACAACTGACTGTTCTCTGAGATTAGCTTCATTTCAATCTGTTTGGTCCAAATTCCATATCTGTTTTTAATATACATCAAGCTTGGATTTCTTAAGTTCGATTGTGTTGCTGGAAAAATCAATTAATATGTAAATGTAGACTAAAAAAAGCGTACTTGTGAGTTGCATGTTATAGAAATATACTCAGCTCTAAACTTCAAATATGAGCTTATTTTGAATCTAACCAACTGACCACTACACTTGCTCCTATGTCATTTGCCAATCATGTAACTTAGTTGTTGCCTGTTGGCTTGTCATGATGTCTATCTGTTATTGTGTAATGATGATGCTTGATAAGAGAGGGAATAAGATAACATTTAACTCCAGAGGGTGGTTGGGTTTGCTTAATGAGAAGGCGGCTGAACGAATGGAAATTTCACCGAGCAGCTCAGCCTGTGACATGAAGGCGTATGTGGAAGAAGCACGTACACCACTTGGTTCTGTGAAAGGAAAAAGGAGAGTATAAGGTGTTTCTGAAATAACTAAAAACTTGGCATTATTAATGTGTTTAAGGGGTTGGCTGCACAGGGGCTCATGGATTTTTGTTGGTACCTAAGAATTTTGCTTATGTTATTTGCTTCCCTGCTATCCTTAATCACAATATTGTCTTATGCTTTCAGGCTTTCCTTGCCTTGGGGTGTTGTTGCAAAAATTGGAGAATCCAGCGCTACGTGCCTGCTTAAAAGTGCCATCTAACGAGGTCTGTTTATGTACACCTATACAGAATAAAAGTCCTTCATCTGCTCTTCAGAGTGATAGTCTTTCTCTGTAGAGTTCATCAACCCCACCCCCCACCCCCACCCCTCCCGCCCACCCCACGGTCCGTGCTTTGTTTTCCCTTTTTGTGTGTGTAATTGGTGAATTCATTGATCAATATAAAAAAAAAGTTGCCTGCTGCTGACATTGATCAATTAGATACATAGGAACACATTCAGAGAAACAATTTAAAGAAAATGTGGAAGGCATCCTTAGGCTTAAGCGTGTGAAAATTGAACTTATTTGGGTATGGATTTGAGCTGAGTAAAGCTAACTTATCTTCATAAACACCAATGGTGAACATTTTAATAGTTGACTAATTTTTATTCAAGAGGAAGTCATCCTGAATGAAGCAGCATTTACAATATCTTCTGCATACTGGACACTTCTGGTCTCTAATAATACTTTGTGCCTCATCCGGAAAAAGAAAAAGAATTAGTCCTTTGTGAAAGCAAACCCATTTTGAAATTCATCCAACTGAATCCACCTTGGCAGTAAGATGTTCTGAGACATAGATGTGTAGTGGTTATTCAGTTGATTGTATGACATAGATGTTTAGTGGTAATTTAGTTGATTGTGTGGAAAATTCGGTACTCGTATAATGCTTCTAGACGTCCTCTTATACAGCTGGTTTTTCGTTTGATAGGGTGTACTCGTCCGGAAAGTTGAGCCCACTTCTGACATCAGTAATGTTGTGAAAGAGGTATTTCTATTCTTTATTTCAGCAGGTTATTGCTGATTTTACTGTTAAACATTGATTTCTTTGCACCACTATCAATGTCAGCAGTTGGTAGCTCTGTTCTTTTATGACAGTTTTATTTTTGCCAGAGAGCCTACGCTTAATGGTATTTATTTCACGATCAAAGTTTTTGAAATATGTAAACCTTGAACTGCAACCTGCAAATGGATGGACCATAAGAAAAAATATTTGATTTGACTGGGTAGTGACAAATGAGAAATTAAAACAATAAGTCTCTGTTGTCATCAGAAGGCCCCTGGAAGTCATAGGCTCATGACTCCAGGCATCTACATTATTAAATAGTGTGCTTCACTTCTTCTCCGTCCATTTGTGTCAATTTACTTGATTTAGTCATTACAATCGGTTCTATCTAGAAAATGGTGTGATTGATTAATATAGTTATGTTCACCTCCTCCTTCCTTCATAGCAGGTAACTTCTTTGAAACAATATCCACTGAGGATGTGTCTCTGAATAGAGCATAATGAACATGGAAGATTCGTGTCACTGTGTCCAAATAGTTTGGGATTTGGTGTTATTAATTGATTGAATATGAACTAGGGACTCAAGTTATAGATTTTACCTTCTTTTCATTAATTGCTACTTTTACAACATTGATTAACATGCACCATAGATGTGCATGACATGGATATTCTGTTGGTATCTAGTATTCATTTTGCCAGAACATCAGATATTGTCCTATTACTAAATTAATGAACGAGAAAAGAGAATCTTCGATCATGTTTAGTTGGTCCGACCTATTTCTACATTAGCTTATTTGATTTTCTTCTCTTCTTATGTTGTTGCTACAGAAATTTTCTTTGGATAATTGTTTCATATACATGTTGATTTTGTAATGTCACCAAGTCGAATAATATTTGGTACATTTTTCCAGGGCGATGTCATTGTTAGCTTTGATGGTGTTCATGTTGGGTGTGAAGGAACAGTGCCGTTTCGATCAAGTGAACGTATAGCTTTTCGCTATCTCATTAGTCAAAAGTAATGTTTAATTACTTGCAAGAAGTTAAATTTGCATTAAAAGGCATTGGTATGTTTGACAAAGATTTTTTTCATTACATACTTGATACTAAGTTTGACAAAGATTATGCACTTAATGTTCAGTTTGAATGTCAAACTCTGAACTGTTAGTTCATGTAATGGTTACCGATTTTCAAGACAAAACTCCCCCCTTTGTCTTTTCCACATAAGAATCTGCTTCAATTAAAATTTATCAAAGCTAGCAGGGAATGCGTATACTGTGAAGGTTGAATAGTCTTTTTTGTTTTTTTCGTTTTTTTCCTGGTGGATCCATTTCCTTCGTGACCTTGAAATGGATATCAATTTATGCTGGTATTCATTGAATCCCTAATGTCAAAGCTCCAAACTCTCCCCATCTTACCTGTACTGTATATTTTTCAAAGATGGTTTTTCCTTTTCAGATTCACTGGTGATTCAGTTGAGCTTGGTATCATTAGAGCGGGAGAATTCATGAAAGTTCAAGCAATTTTGAAGCCACGTGTGCATTTGGTATAAAATAAATGTTAGCTAACCCTTGGTCTTTTTGTTGACATCACTTGAATCTCAGTTTAATTTATATAGATCTGTTTGCTCTCATCTGAAGGTTCCTTATCACATAGAAGATGGTCAGCCTTCATACCTAATAGTTGCAGGCTTGGTGTTTACCCCACTATCTGAACCACTAATAGAGTAAGATTTTCCATAATCCCTTGTATATAGTGTTATGCGTAGCTAGCAATTTGTTAGTTTTCTCTCTGATAACAACACACATTCATATTTTATTTGGCAGGGAAGAAGAAGATAGCATCGGGGTAAGTCTTGACAAAATGATAATTGCTCGCAATGATTAAAACTTCTTTTTTGTTCTGTTTTGATAAGTCAATGATTAGAAATACCTTCTTGTCTTGATTGTTTTCTTTTAATTTTATTAGCTAAAACTATTGACCAAGGCTCGATACTCTTTGGCCAAGTTCGAAGGTGAGCAGATTGTTGTACTATCTCAGGTATGTATATGGAGTAAGTTTTGGCCTTGGTAAATCAGTTCATGGATATAGTAACTGGAATATTTATTTTCTGGACTCCATAGTAGGACATATCCATTCCTGGGCCATGGTGGAGGAACAGGAACAGGGCACATTATCCTAAGGGTGATGATAGAGGTGACAAAATGGTTAAATAGGCTTTAGCCTGCCCATTTGTCACCCTTGAGATTCTAGTATACCTTATCACTTGCTTACCCATTTTTTCAACCTCTAAATGATGCCGTGGGGTTAATTATGAAAATAATGCCACATTCAATGGTTTATTTTGCTTGTAGGTCTTGGCAAATGAAGTAAATATTGGATATGAGGATATGAGCAATGAGCAGGTAAGTTATTCATATCCACCGAGATGTTATATTCCTACCAGTTGAGCTGTAAACAATAATTAGTGTGAACATCGAACTTCAAATTAAGTCATAGTTGTTGTATGCTGCTTCTATGAAGTCTCAATTTTTAATTTACTTGGCAGGTCTTGAAGTTGAATGGCACCCGAATTAAAAACATTCACCATTTGGCTCATCTTGTAGATTGTAAGTGGTAATATACGTAGTTGAGGTCTCTTTTCTCTTCAGCTGAGCATTTACAAATTCATCTGTTTGTGCAGCATCCAAGGGCAAATATTTAGTGTTTGAATTTGAAGACAATATTCTGGTGGTTCTGGAAAGGAAGGAAGCCATGTCTGCCTCAGCTAGTATTCTCAAAGACTACGGCATTCCAGCAGAAAGATCATCAGATCTTCTGGGACAGTATGTTGATTCCACCACACAACAAAGTGAAGCAACCAATCACGGTGAATTTGGCTATGAAGGGCTTCTTTGGGCTTGATCACTTAGCATATGAAGCTTGATCTTGATTCACACTTGAAGGCAGCCATTCTTCTTCATGCATAAGATGGTTATTCTTGCCTAAAAAGATCTATTGTCACATTTGTAAACTTGACAGGGGGGAAGAACTCAGATAAACAGGCAAATCTGCATGGGGACTCTACAGAACAGCGCTTACTTGGCTACCTCCCTTTGGATATAAAAAGAAAAGAAAATGTTCAGTTGAAATCAATGTGTGAAATGGAAGTTCATGGCCCTGCACATTAAGTATGCAGCATTTCTGAGGTTTGTTTTTACAGGTGTAGGATGTAATTATCAATTTTTAGGAAATTTTGGGAGTTGGAAGGTTTTGTTACCATTCACATAATTCAGTATAGGCAAAAAAAAATTAAAAAAATTTGCTGTTTCAGTTTTTCCTCCCCGTTCCCGGTCCCTCACCAACCACTAAACAGTAACCTTTGATCTGAAACCTGAAAGGACAGTAGCAACAGGAAGTTTTTATTTGAAAAATGGAAGGTCAGATAAGATGGTGGGTGTATTTATTCACTTTCCTGAACCGTATCCGTATGTGGGAAATATCACATTCCAATGAGCTCAATATGTGATAAGACTGTAGAATAGACCTACCATACTACATCCTGAACATGCTTACGTGTAGACCTTTTTTATTTCTTTTTAAATGAGATGACCATGCAAATAGTTTTCACATCTGTATAAGCCAGTTTATGGCAAGGTAGCTTCCATATTTTTCAAGTTACTTATTGACATTTTCAAGATGGTGGAGGTGCCAGACCACAATTTTGAAAATGGTTTGCTAGATAGAGGAAGAGGACAAACAAGCTCATGTGATATCTCAACAATTACCATTAACCAATCTTGCCAATACATTCCAAGCTGTCTTCTTAGCCTACTAAATACTTCTTGTACCAAAGATAATAGTACCTTTACTATTTCTGTGCCCAAGAAGGCATGCGAGCTTCAACTATTTCAGCTGCACCTTCACTTTCTCCAGATATAACTCCTCTGTTAAGTGATTCTTCACTGCCCACTATACCTTCAACTCTCAGCCCGCCGAATCCAGATGCTATGGTTGCTCCTGGGCCATTTCAGCATCAGTTTTTAGTGCAATTCTGGTATTTGGTCTGTAATGGATTGTAATTGGATTTTGGTATAATTTATTGTTTTAGTATTCACACCATCATTTATGTAGTACAGATTTATTCATGGCTTCATTACTAAGCTAATTGAGATGTATTGCCCATCAAATAAGAAGGGTTTATGATAATACAATGACTCCACTTTGTCTTAAAAAACTCAAGCTCAATGAAATTATCCTGAGCAAATCCAAAGTTGTCTGATTGCCTCTCTTTACCCTTCATTGAAGTTGTTGAGCTCGCTCAATTTCTAACTTTAGGAAGTGAGTCATGGATGGAGTTTAACGGACCAAAATGTAATCTAAATTTGTAGTCAACTATTGATTTACAAAATGAAATAATGTCATGTTGAAAATATATATGACTGAAGTATTACCGTACCTTCTCCATCTCAATCAACGTCGCACTGATAACTAACAATCCATTTCCAACAATAAATCTGATTCCCTTTGACAACTAAACAGTTAAGTTAATTAACAGTCCATTTTTCCAACAATAAATCTGATTCCCTCCGACAACTAAACTAACAATATATCTTCCTCTTCCAGATCTAAACAAGAGTACTGTCGTCATACAACTAAATAACTATCCATTTATTTCCAAGAATAAATCATCTTCTCAACAATGTCGTCATTCCCTGAACAAGTGTTGAAGCACCTTGTTAACCTCACACAAGGACCGTAACAGTGTATCCTTAGTCTCTAAGTCGTGGTACGAGCTCGAGAGGCGCTCTAAGAGGAGTGGCTTCATCAGCAACTGCTACGCCGTTAGCCCTGAGATTATGATCGCACGTTTCCCTCAACTCACATCTATCTGGCTATCTCAAAGGAAAGCCCCATTTCGCTGACTTTAATCTTCAACCTTGGCTTGAGCAAATTAGACTAAAGCGAATTGTTGTCACTGATCACTCCTTGGACTTGATTTCCACCTCATATCACCATTTCAAAGTCTTGGTCTTGTTGTCTTGTCAAGGCTTTACTACCCATGGACTTGCTTCCACTGCAGAAATCTGACTGAACTAGACTTGGGAGAAAGCTAAGTAGTGACTGGCTCACTCATTTTCCTCATGGTTGTAGCTCACTGGTGTCACTTAACATTTTTTGTTTGGGTCCGGAGATCAGCTTATCAAATCTGGAGAGTCTCATTGCACGTTCTCCTAATTTGAACACACTTCGGCTCAGTCAAGCTGTGCCCCTTGAGAAACTTCCACACATATTGTCTTGTGCTTCCCAATTGGTTGAATTTAGTACAGGTGCATACTCTTCTGACCTACACTCTCATGTTTTCTCTAACCTCCAACAAGCTTTTTCAGGCTGCAACATACTTCAAGGCTTGTCTGGATTTTGTATTAGTATCCTAATCCCAGTAACCGACCCCTATGTGTATCATTGGGAATAAGAATTGCTACTTAGTATTTTGTTTTAGGGGGAAGGGGGCATGCTCAACAATGTAGATGCTAGCGTTTTGAAGATTCTATCATTCGTTATGCAGCTAAATTCATCATCTTTTCTATTGACTGATGAGATTATGCCATCATGTACTCATAAGTCGGTAAAATTCAATGCTTCCATGTACTAAGAATCTCTTTAGAAAATTATTTTTGGTAATAGCTATGTCAAAATTTGAACTCATAATCAAGTGATGAGTTCTATGGAAGGATTCATTCATCAAAATTAAATTCTGATTTCACCTTTACAAAATTAATGAGAATTCAAGACTTTAAATACTACTGGTACTCCTATTCCTATCTAAGAAATCAAATGATAGAATAAGTAAAGATGTGCAAGAATAAAAGACATCAAGTTCAAAAGACATAGTGAGTCAAGTAATATTAATCGGACAAGATGATGGTTTTTTCTTTGATATAGAAACTTGAAGCATAACTCTTACATCCAGACTTTTGTCTTTTGCAATTACTTATACTTTTGATCCTTGAAGTGTTTCCAAAATATGTTCTATTCTGTACTTCATGACTGGTTGGCCTGATTTAGTTTTCTTGAACATTTTCTCCCTTAGTTCTTTCCTTCGAGATTCAGCTCTCTGCATTTCTTCTTTCCTTGCTAGAATAGTGGCCTCCGTCTCCATCCTTGCCTTGTCATCCTCCTCGCGTTTTCTCTCATATATTTCTCTTAGGCTTCTAGCACTATTCTTCTTATTTCTCCTAATATCTACTTCTTCATCCTGATATACCAATTGGAATTAGAATGAACACGTACCTTACCTCACTTTTCTAGTTGCAATTGACACGTTCTGGATTGTTACTTGATTCCACAATTACAATAAGAGGATAAATGACTAACCTCTAGTTGTCTTGCAGAACCAGAAGGCTCTCCTTGTTGCTGCTTAACTATCCTCTTATATTTATTCACATATTTAGCGTTCTTATAAAACTCCCTTTGCTTCTCTGCACACAAAAAGAAAAGAACAATTAAAGATATATCTAGAAGCAACTGTTTCAGACCATAGATTCAGAAACAATAATTTAATTCCTCAAACCAAAGGGTTAGAATTACTTATAATGGCAGGGTTGTAAGTGTTGGTCTTGGTTTTGGCGTTTGCAAATGCTTCCAATGATAAGCCTCCTCCTCCTAATCTTTGCATATTCTTCTTCTTATCCACATCCATGAAACATTTTGCTTTCTTCTTCGTTTCCGCCTTTACCATTTTCTTCATCTCAAACCCTAGTTTGTTTCGACTGAACAAGAGATTTTACGCATTTCACCCAGGCCCAAAAGGGTACCCATAAGGCCCAAAGCTATCACTTCTGCCTGTACATAAATAACATAAAAAAATGGGAAATTTTTCAAAATGTCAATATTTTAGCATTTAGCAATAATTTCAATATTTAGTAAAAATGTCATTTTAGTTTGTTATGTATGTTTTTATTATTTATTTTTATTTAAAGAATATATTTATTTAATAAGAGAAAATTAAGGGGGGAATATTTCAAAAAAAGGCAAGCATCCTTAATTTTCTCATCAGTTACATTTTCAAATAAAATTTAAATTTTGTTTTTTTTTTTTTCAGAATTTTTACCTTTTTAAAATTATATTCATTCCACAATAAATTCTATTTATATTTATTATAGTTTTTTATTAGTTTGTATTCATTCCAATAGGTATGTCGAATTTATCTATATAGTCATTTAAAAAATATATTTGTATTTTCATATTTTTTTTCCCTATAGAGTTATTTTTTTCTTCAAAAATCATGTATGTATTCATTTCAATATGTATTTTATTTGTATTTCTATTTATTCTAGTTTTTATTTTGAATTTTATATAATAATATATAAAATACAAAAAATTAGTATGATAAAAAAGTGAATGAAATATAAAATTGAAAAGAAATAATTGAATATTTGGTGTACTCATTCTTAAATAAAATACATAACTAGTTGACATACCTTTAAAATAAATACAAATTAGAAAAAAAATGTCAAATTCAGTTGACATACCTTTATTAGTTTGTATTCATTCCAATATGTATGTCAAATAAAATATAGTTATTTAAGAAATACATTTGTATTCGTATATATTTTTCACTGTGTATTTATTTTTCTTTTCAAGGTCTTGTTTCCTTTTCTAAGTCGTATTCATTCCAATATGTCTATTATTTGTATTTGTATTCGAATACAAATAAACTAATAGAAAGTTGTTCTTCTTATAAATAAAATGCATAACTAGTTGACATACATTTGAATGAATACAAACTAATAAAGAAATACAAGCTTCATTATACAAAATACAACATGAAAACTAGAATGGATACTAATACAAACGGTATACATATTGAATTAAATACAATTTAAGCAAGGATACAAAATTTAAAAAAATAAAACAAATACACTGTGAGAAAAGTATAGCAATTACAAATAACTATAGGTGTTCAAGTTTCTAAATTAAAAAATAAATAAATTTAATAGATAAAACTATAATGTATCATCATAAAGTTTCATAATAATAATTAGTGAGAATGAGATATTATATTTTTTTATTATGATTTTCATAACAATAATTAGTGAAAAATTGATATTGAAATTTTATAGATGTGGTACTTCTTTAATTTCGTGATTCTTATGACAATAATTAGTGAAATTTGGATATTTATTTTGGTTAATAAAAGTGTTTAGAAACAAAAAAAAAGATTACCAGAATTGGATATTGAATCTTTTTAGAACAATGGAGAAAAAAAAAGAATTTTTTATAACGTGATGAAAAAAAGAAAGAAATAGATAAAAGTTGGTGTATTTTAATAAATTGTAACTGATGAAACTTTTAACATTTGTTCCTTTTTAAAATTAATAATCTTCCCTAAATTCCTCTCAATCTGTTATATAAAAATTATATTTTTTTAAAATAAAACAAATAATAAGAACATAAATAAGATACGTAACAAACTTAAATTTTGACATTTTTACTAAATATTGAAAATGTTGTTAACGAACCCTCTTAAATGTTAAAATATTGACATTTTAAAAAATTTCTCTAATATAAATCGTGTTTTTTATAGGACAAATAAAAATAAACTAGAGTCTAGAGGGGCAGGCGTTTGGGAATTTTGTGAAAAAACATACAAAACAAACCAACTTCTAACAATATTGTTCCAATTTATTTATTTTTGAATTTTTTTTTAAAAAATGACTATTGTTTAAAAATAATTAGAGTATCATTACTATAGTGTGCTTAGTTAGAAATTATAGCTTTGGAGAGGAGATAGGTGCAAGAGGTAAAATACTACTTGTATTTATCGTATCAGCCATCATACAACTAATTTGTATCCAAATAAATACAATTATATCAAAACTTATTGTATTTAGCTATATATTAGGAGGAGAGAGGTGAGCAAAATCTAGAGAAGGGAGTAGGAAGGATAAATACATGTTGTATCACGAATACAATTGACAGCAGAATACAAATACAATTGACACAAAATACAATATAATTATCTATTAGATACATATCATAGACTTATACTTGATTGAATATATGGAGAGGGCAGTGGAAAGAGAGAGAAAAAAAATTGTTACATAACTCTACATATAGCTAATGAATTTTGAATATGTTGAGGTTGATCAGAAATTGGAATATTGATATTGGACACCAGTTACTTTGAAAAATGAAATTGCATTTGAATTAAATATTTTAGAATCTTTCTATCTTGTCTTTACCACAAATCGACCCGCTGTTGTGTCCCCATCCCAAAACCCAAATTTGGTTGAGACGATGGAATGAAATGACTTGAAGGTGTCTTACGTTGAAATGGGAGCTTGTGAGATGTTAATGACGGGGAACTGCACATACAAACTAAGATACACTTGGAGGAAAGGAAATAAGTAGTAAAGAGAAACCTTCAATGTTAAGCTCAGTGGAGCCAATTAGTTTTCAATATGCAATAGAAAAATGAGAGAGAGGTTTTATCCAAGGACTATCCCAGATTCCTTTGTACAGTTCGCTAGAAGAAACAAATAAAAAAGGCTTGAATCAAGCTGACCCATGTCATCGGGGATCTTCACCAGTACCAATCATGCGGGTGTTGTATGAATTACAATGCTTGCATTTGTGGCCAAGTATGTGAAAAAATGCTTTACCAGTACTATTACAGTCATTGCACAGAATTGGAACCTGCAAAACAAAAAGAGTACAACCTTATTCCCGCTTAAGAACATCATACCAACAAAAAAGTTCCTGAAGAAGAGAATAAAACAGTTAAAAGATGGGACCAAACTGTAAGTTAAACCTCATCTCTCTCACTCGCTAATCATATACGTCAGATCCTTCCACTCCTTACCAACATCCACAAGCAAAGCTCCAGGTCAAACCATTCCTGCTAATTAGTCCATTCCACTGATATACCCCCCCTCCCCCACACACACACAGAGACACCTCCCCAGCTGTACTCGGGCAGAAAAAGAAAGTTTGAAAAAGTAAAAAGTGTCTCCAAGATCCCAATTCAACAGGTTGTTGTTTTCTTTTGTCTTTTTTTTATATATATAATAAGGAAGTTACAAAACTAAAAGTTTCTTATGCTCAATTTTCTTCAAATTCCATAGAAATGGAAACACTGGAATCTAAAATGAACAAGCATCATATAAAAGTAAAAATTGACAACATACTGGAACATATTTTTTCCCCTTATTAGATACTCCATAGAAGATTTGAATGACAAACATCATAAAACAAGAAAGAGCAACATACCTCATAACGATATTCTTCAGGCATGGCTGTAGCTTCAATCTATACATAAGAAACTTGATCATCAATAAACAATCACAATGCACTGTGGTTAATATCATGTGCTGAGATGTGCTATAACAATTGAGCAACAAACACACGAAGATCATATTGACTCAAAATATGCATATATGAATAAACCATGTAAAGTCTCTGCTTTCTTCCCCAGCCAGAAAAAAATATCTAAAACTTAGAATCAACCAATCATCCAGCTCAGTAAAATGCAGTCTCCAGAGAGTTGTGTAGGTCAAATGGCAATTACCAAATAAACTGCAGTGTGGTTAAGAACCTGCAGTACCAAAAAGCCACATCTTCCTCTACTCCCAAGTAAAAAAAAAAAGGGGACAAAAACGACATCCGTCAAAAAAACTTATTCTCATATTATGACATGAGATAGCATTCTCGTCGATAACGATTTTAGCATATCCAACTGGAACAGTTTGGAGTTTGGTGCACCAGAGTACGTTCCAATCTGTTCTCAACAGCCATTGACAGATCTACCCATTTTTAAAACCAACATGAAATCCTCTTGAAAGAAAGCGAGAATATCATGCCTAAGATCATTACAACAAGACCACTTGCATCTAGTATAGTATATCTATACAACTATACTAGAGTTCTTCTAAAATCATGTCATTTCACATGTTGACAACTTGTGATTGTTCTAACTTGAAGACAAGGTTTTGTCCCCTAGTTTCCTCTCTTTAATCTTCGTAGGTTTTTCTAAATTTCTGCAATTGCACCTCAGAATCGTCCATCTAGCATCATTTACATCTATCCCTAATCACTACACACCTAAACTTGGTCAAAAAACTTTCCCAGTTCATATCTTCAGCTAACCTCAAATCTAACTCGTTACTGATATCTCTCAAAACCAATGCCTAATGCTCGATCATGATCTGACCCCTTGTCAGCAAATTAACCGTCTATGTTAACAGGTCAGAAGAGCGGTGACGAATTCTTAAACCAAGATGTATGTGTTACTAACAAATGAAATAGGATTCCACAAACTAACTCAAACTCAGATATACCATCACCAAGTAAGAGATACTACCACAACAACAAATTTAAAACAAGATACAACTTAATTTTCTTCGGACGAGATTCAAAAGTCAAACCATGTTTTGAAAACTCTAAACAGCAATGCACCTCATTGAGATGTGTTAGAATAGTAATAGGTAAATACAATCCTATTAGAACAGGAAGAGGTTTATATAATCCTATTAGAATAGATTTCAGTTTATACAATCCTATTTATAATAGGAATAGGAATACAAATAGAAATATGAATAGTAAATCGTATCCTACTAGGTAAAGGATTGTATTCTAGTGTCTATAAATAGAAACAACACCAGCAATTCAATAATATTTTTTTCCTATATTTCTCATATGGTATCAGAGCCTCTGCGCGATCTTGGTATAGATGAAAGAGCTTCCACTGCCGGCGGGCGGCTATTACCCATATATGTCGCCTGTCTGGCCAACGATTATGTTAGCAAAACTTGTAGCACCGTGTCATTTTCTCGGCGACTACTTTCATATTTAATTTGTGTAGCACCGTGCCATCTTTTCGGCAATTACTTTTTTCATAATTAATTTGTGTAGCTCTGTGCCATCATTACAGTGACTACTTTCTCAAATCTGATTTGTGTAGAGCACCGTTCCATCATTCCGGTAACTACTTTTCTGTATCCTATATCTGTAGCACCGTGCGGCATTTCGGGTGACTGCTTTTTCATATTTAATTTGTGTAGCACTGTGACATCCTTCTGGTGACTACCTTTTTTTTTTGCATATCTTATTTGCATCTGTGCATATCAGGACTACTTTTCATATTTATTTGCGTAGTACCATGGATTTTTTCGAACTACTTTTCATATCTGAGTTGCATAGCACCGCGTCTCTTTTCGGTGACTCCTCAAATTTGATTTGCATAGTTCCATTCGTCTTTCCGGTAATTCAAATTAGATTTGCGTAAGGTTGTGCCATCATTCCGACCCGACCTATATTATTTCTCTTTTTTAATAGGGGCGTACCATCAATCCGACCTTTCCTATATGATTTTTGTTTTCTAGTTAGGTCGTTCCATCATTCCAACCCTACCCATATAATTTTATTTCTTAGATTGTGACCACTTTCAACCATCAAATCTAATACTTTGGCGTATGAGCATGTTCGAAGCAATTTTTCGGTGACTTTCTTGAGTAATATCGACTCATTTATTGATTCCAACATGATCCATATACTTCAAAATAGTAACAGGTATATACAACCTATTAGAATAGGAAGAGGTTTATACAATCCTATTCGAAAGTATTAAGTTTATATAATCCTATTAGAATAGGAATAGGAATACGAATAGAAATAGGAATAGTTAATAGTATCCTACTTGTCTATAAACAAGGTCTCAATGTAATAATGTAGAAACAACAACAATTCAATAATATTCTTTTTCCAATATTTCTCACAAGATCCAAAAGGCACAAAACAAAGAAAATTATGTGTGTGTGTGTGTTAAATTACTGGCTCTCCATTCTCTCAGTGACAAAACCCATGCTTTTAAACAACAAATGTAGGATTAAAACTTCACGGGTTTATGTTTAGGTTTGTGTTTTGTCTCTCAATAACAAAAACCCTGCTTTTTTAGATATGTGACTCTAAAAAAGTTTCAAGAAAAAAACAATATCTATATTTCTCGTTCCTCTAATATTACTTCCTTATAATAAGGTTGCTCTTCAATGTTTACCAGTTTCCCACCAAAAAAATAAAGGTTGCTCTTCAAAAAAAAAATCGAGGCAAAACCAGTAAGCCGAAAGACTGTTACAGCACAATCAACTTCACTCCAGAAAAATGCCAAGGAAAGAAAGCATCGACTTTGATTTCTCTCTATGTCCTTTCAACCTCCTATCAGTTTAAGCTATATCAGCACTGGATTGGAGGATAGCTCACATGCTGTGAGCCCTTCAATCTTCACCATGTGGTGAGGGATCAAACACACCTATGTAATAATCCCCTCCATCCCCCTATCCCTAAATAAATAGTTTAAATTATACATATATCAGCATATACTCTTTTTTTAACTGGATGTATGTATGGTGGATATTGCTTGTAGCGAAGTACAAAAAATAAATTATGGAAGAACTTTGTAGGGACTAACTGAAAAGTAAAATAACTTCACACCTCCATATCTAATCTTTGCCAAGTTCCGGACATGTTGAGAACAGACTTAGAGCATATAGGGCAGCGATACCTATACAGAAAGGGGAAGACAAGTATAATATGTAAGTTAACCAGACAGGCTGATTAGCATGAAGAAAAAGAAACATAATAGTCATGCTATGGATAGAACTTTACTGGTTCTGATGGATCATCTCTGTGTGGCATTCCATATGCATTGTATGTCCACACTTCATAATTGTGGTGCCTTTCACTGAGTCGAAAAGAAACTGGACCGAACCATAACTTTACTATTAGGGTAAGTTCCAATCAAAACATACGAGCAAGTTAAGGCAGTAAAAGCCAAATGAGAGTATACTCAAACCTCATAACAGATGGGACAGTGGTTCTTCATTGAGTTCTCCACACACAAGTGATTATCACGCAGCTCCACCGAATAGCAGGATCCTGTTGCAAAAACATAATGAAAGTAGCTAAAAGAGAAGTATTCCTAAAGCTTAACGCACCAGAAAAATAAGGAGACGTTGCGCATATGATAAAACATTAAATTCACCGCCGATGACTTTCTATAAAGAAAAAATTTATCTTCATCAGAAAAGAACATTTATTCTAAATCTATTGAAATACAGCAAACTATGCAGGCATTCGTTTGAAGTTTTGCAGATGTGTAGGAAGGAGAAAAAGTTGTACAGATTTATCTTTTATGGACAAGGTTTATTAACATCTTATTATAATCTTTTATGGATCACTGAAAAGACAAAGAACACTAATTGGTGACCTCAAGATGAGCGAGTTCCCCTTCCAGATTTTGCCTTATTATGACCAAGGTTTATTTACAGCTCAACTTTATCAGAGACTTGCAACTAAAATTCGTTCTTCGCCAACATGAATTTAGCATCCTCAGAACCTGCATCTTCCCATCTAAAAAGACTTACAGGACCTATAGACATGAGACCTTTTTGAGTTAGACATGCTTAATTTACAAGGAAAATGTACTTATGTTCCTATATCCTTTAGAAGAATATGCCTGACTGGAACATACCACAACCATTATTATACAAATTTGGAAGTTAAAAGAAACTTGTACTTGACCACACATCATCAATAAGATTCTCCAGAACCATCGAGCGGCCGATGAATTAAGAAAGAGAGAGAGAGGATTCAACCCTATTGACAGGTTTCCTCTCTATTCTGATAGGATGAGCAGTTCTAGCTATTTGACTTCTGTTATGCTTATTGGTTTTATGTTACTTTATTTCATTGATATAGAGATGCATGTTCGTGGCGGATCAGAGATTTTAAGGTCGTGGGTGCTCTCTTAGCTAAGGTGGCGGCGACAAATATAAAATGTAAACACACGAAAAAGCCAAAGGGGGTTAACACACACACACACATATATGTATGTATATATATATATATATATTACCATATATAAACAATGTAATTTTTTCGTCGTCTACCTAGCTCCGAACCCACTTAGCTACCGATCAAAAAATGTAAGTGGATAAATTTACTCTTCATCATAAAAAAGACAATCATATTGAATATTATAGCTAAAAGACAAAAAAAAACAATAAATATTATTTTGAATAAAGAAAATAGGAAAAGTATATTTTGTATAAACTTATTGTAGGAAAAGTAGCAAAACGACAAGTGAAAGAAAATAGAAATACAATCAATATAACATCGGTAGTAAGGGAGAGAAGAGTTGGTTTGTAAAAAATTTAAATGTGCCAACTGGGAGTCGAAACCAGATGCACAACATTACGAAGGACCTTGAGCACCCACAAACAGCCACTGCGCCAATCAAACAATTTATTCTATGGGTGCTCGTTGTTTAGTTTTATACTATTCCGCCTAATTTCTATAGAAATATATTTAGTTGGACACAGAGATAAGGTGCTCGAGCACCCGGGAGTACCTATGTGAGTCAGTCCCCGTGCATGATGCCAGTAGACAGCTATGAGATGGTAGATGCACAATGCAATAATATAGTTGTACAAGATCAACTTCCAGTTCCAAGGATATCCCTTTATTACCATATAAGATGTTCTATCTAAGACTCAATGGAAAGGACATTTCAAAAGTAAAATTTCAGAAAGGAACTGTCAAATGAGAAAAGTACACTTCCACAATACAGTTTTGAAACAAGCTATAGTTGAAAAGAATCACTTGTTGTCAACTTGAGATATAATCTACACCTTCCTTTATAAAGTAAGGGTTGAGATATACACTACACTATTCAAAATGAAAAAAGAAATCGATCCATTTTGATACAAGGAAATCCACAACAGTAGTCAAACAACAAGGATGAAGGGAAGCCTTACCACACTTCTTGCAGTGGAAGAAGTTTTCTCGACCACCGACCCTGTTTCACCAATTGCGTATAAGTACCACAGGTGACATATATGTTGTTTAGAGAGTTGGAACAAGTACCGAAGTGTAAGAGCAGAATGGAGGCTGAATACAATATTATTTAGTGCATTCACCTGCAAATTCCACAGTCATCACAGTGAAACTGCCCCTTTGTTCTCTGCAAGAAAAGTAATTACTTAAATACAAATGAATTAAATACATTTATATGGTTACTCTAGCATCCAAAAATAGAACAATCTAATTTAAGAGAAAAATAAAATAGTAGAATTACATTGTCATCGTAAAATCTACAAATTTCACAATAGTACTCCCCAAATTTGACGCCACACTCTGAACAGATCTCAGCAACCTATTTAACACAAGCCAGAAAAAAATTATCACAGACTACAACGGCTGAAAAGTCCATAAACTTGAGACACTCAAATGATAGATAAGTGTAGCAACAGAGCTTAACAGACCTGTTGTTCAGTGTCGCATACAGCACAAACAACCTGTAGCAAAAAATCAGATCCAACATCAATCCCCATAAAAGTTCTGAGTACTCATGAACTAAAATCTTATCATCCGAGGAAATCAATAATATGAGTTTTACACGTACTTGCTTAACATTGTGGCGCACAAGTTCGTGCCGTTCCTTGGGATTGGTCAAAGCATTCTGATTCCAACAAACACAAGCTTCAGTAAAAACCACACAGTGTTTATAAAACAAGGAAGGTCCTTTAACCGTTTTAAAATATGGAACTGACAATAGTAAGGCCTCTTACTATTATAATGAAGCAATAGCACCAGACCATTACAGAAGAGCGGAACTGACTTACAAAGTTAGTATGTATGTTCGATCCAGAGAATCCCACATTAAGAGCAAAAGAGAAAATGAGTATTTGTCCATGTATTTCCTATAAAATACTTGTGTTCGCATGTGAAAACTGGAAATTGGTTTTTCATAGATATTATGGATGTATTTTGACCTGCGACTTGTTAATTAAATTTTACTATTTGGGACAGCTAATTAGCAACAGAACATATATGTAAAGACTGTTTAGGTTTTCCCAATAAGGATAGACTATGTTCTACTTCAAAATAAGTGAGCAGTGGCTGTTGGTAGTGTTTTTATAAGAAAAAAGATAAGAAAAGCAGCAAGCACCTTGGCCTCGTTGTGGCAGTGACGGCAAGTGAATATTTCATTGCAACAAGGGGCTCGGAGTTTACAGCGTCGCCGATAATGATCACATCTATTTAAAGGACAGAGAATATGAATCATTATACAATTTTGACAGGAAAATTAACACAAAGTGGTATATGCATAATTATGTACCCATAAAGCAACTTTCCGACATCTTGTCTATCGAGCTCCTCTTCGGGCGGCGGCGGTTGATCAACGACAAAATTCTCACCGTCTTCGTCCATGTAAAAGGTTCGAGAGTAGAGGTATGTGGTGAAATTTGGTTGCGTGTGGCCAAATGGTGCGGTGCGGTATATATCAAGTATTTAAGGGTGGGTTCTCTTCAAGATCCACTATTCAAATTCATACTGGGCCCATTTAACATAAAACTTTTGCTACAGTATAAGTTATGTTTGTTAAAATTCATTAATGACACTAACCTATTGAAATTAATCATAAATAGGACTTCTTCATATTCATGTCATTTACAAATGAACCGTATGTATTGAAAAAATATAATTGTCCATATAGATTGTAGAAAATTTTGTGTAATGAATTTATAAAAAATTATTTGTGTTTGTACTTAAAAGGAGGATAGTTATTGTACGATTGCAGGTATGATAACAATTACGGAGGATGTTGAACAAATGGAGAATTTGCACAAACAATGTGGCAAAGGTTTGCATGAGGTTAGGCATCGGAAAAGTAGAACTCTTAGAAGCTTATTAGTCAAATGCAAAATTTCAAAGACCAAAATTATGTGGCTGCATATATCCTTAAAATTATGTCACCTATAGTTATATGGGAGCTACAGAGGGCTTAGGTGCTGCTCTGAATCATCAACGGATGCGACATTCCTAATCACTTTCAACATCTATCAACTTATCAAAGCTAGTATGGTTGAGAAGATCGTAAGAGTGGTCAAGTGAATTAAACCCTCTTTCCCTGAACACCAATGAATCATATAATAATGGAACTTGTGGTGGGGGAGGTGTATGTAGGGGATTATCGAGGAAGAGCTAATGATTTGAGGCTTTATCATTGCTGAGGTAGACTCTTTACTGTTGCTTAATTGCACCATCAATGTCTGTGCAATCACCTGGAGAATCGAAACCACAGTCAAACAGATAAAAAATCTTATAGGCATATATGATATTTCTATTCAACATTGCTTCAGAAAAACTAATAAAGTTATTGACAACTTAGTTTCCCTAAGTCACTCACTTACTGATGTACAAATCTAGATCTACTCTCACTTCAACACCATCCCTAGAATAGTGAAAAGGAATCTCTACATAGATGGGTTGAAAGTCCTTCCTGAAAGTATAAAAGCGTAAAGCAAATACTTTGAGTTGTGATCCCCTTGAATCCAGAGGCGTATCCAGAATTTTGGTTAGATGGGTGCACAATTACGAAAAAATTGTATCATAAATATAAATTTGATCGATTTAACATTTAAGTTCTTAATATGAAGCATAAAATTTTACAAATTATAGGTTCAAAATATATAGTACTACTAGTTTTAAATTTTAATGTACCATTTGGCTTAATTATATAAAAAAAAAGTTTATAGTGCTAATTTTTTTTAGGAATTTTCAATAAACACACTTGAAAATTTTGAAAGATTAAATGGAAAAAAATTAGCAAAATCAGTTGAAACGTCAAATATGTAACTGATAACCACTTGGAGAGAAGTGCACACAATTCATTATTATATTATCATATGATACTTAAAACATGAACTCACACACCTATATTTAAATTTTTTTGAAAAATATAACACTAGTCTATATGATGTAGAGAGGAGAGCATGGGTTCACGTGAAGCCACGACACCCCTTCTAGACACGCCTCTGCTTAAACCTCTCTGATTTGTACTAATGATTGTTTAGCTTAGATCTTTTGTGCACTTTTGTGTTTAGTTTGACTGTGTAACCAATCTCTCAAGAAGGTATATATGATTTATCCTGCTTCTTCAAATATAATTTCTTTCTCAATGGCAATCAATATAAATGGTAATACATATAAAAAAAATAAAGATTAAATACTCGAAAAGTAGGCAAATATATTTAAAAAATAAAGATTAAATACTCAAAAAGTAGGTAAGCATAGAGGGAGACTAATAAATTCACCAGATTTCTGTTTTGTTGTAGAATTAGGCAGATGGTAATTGAGGAAACTATTACTGTACTACATTTGCAGTATAGGTAAGGATAATATCATTGAATTTGTTTGTTGTTATTATACAGGAATAAATAGATAGAGTAATAAATTATGTTGAAATATAACTACGGGGTGGAGGGACATGATTTCAACATTTTGATCCAGTTCATGAACGTATAGATTTTCCTTTCCCTCTGAATCACGATCCAGTTCATGAACGTACACATTCGAGCAAACTCAACATTCATCATTACTCCATTTTCCAGAAAATAATCAGCTAGCTACTGCACATCAAATACCACAAAAAGAAACATTTGAAAGTTGTGGAGCCATACAATGAATGATTTTCATTTGATTCAAAGAAATATCATTGGCTTAATTACTTAATGCCCTTCTCTTTTGATAAGATGAGTAGAAACATGACCTACTCAAAACTGTGAACCAATGTATTGGAGGAGCTTCTCAATATTCTTGTTAGCCATACACAAACTGTTTGATTGTTAGACACGTCAAAGATTAGGGCATGGTGTTGGTTCAGGAATTAGAAATGCAGTAATTAATTATGTAAGATTTGGTTATTCCACATTTCACACCGCAACCTAAAATAGTAGGTTGAACAAATGGTAATATATTTTCAGGTTAAGATATTATTGCCCACATTAGTAATCCAGGGGTTGCAAGGACAATATAGAAACACCAAAGCATAAGATTTACACAAAGATGTGGCGCTTAAGAGACAATCAGGAATATCAAGGGAAAAAAGTGCACGGCTGAAATATTTACTGAAAGGGAAATTCAAGTGCCACCTTCTGAAAAAAAGTGGTGATATACTAACAACTGCACAAGTTGCCTACTCAGGCAAAGGTCAAAAAAAATCGCTGCTAACAATCAAATCCAGCTCTACTCACTTCCATCCAGTGCCAAGACAAGTCAGTATCAGCTTGTTGCCTCAGGCCAAGTACTTGAACAAGTTTGGGTTCTCTTTGTCTCTTTCCAAGTAGTCACGAGTGATAAGATCTTCAATCCTCTTTTTGATTGCTTTGAAATCAGGCTACACAGAAATCTTTTGTTATTTTTCGACACATACAAGAGAAAATTCAATAATTAGAATAGACAAAGCTAACACATCTCTCCAACTAGAGCCTATAACTATTTTGAATATCATTTGAAGGCAGAGAAGAAACTTGACAAGGGAATAAGATGAAATATATTGGCAAGTTTGGGTTACAAAGATGACACCTCAACAAAAATTCCAGCACTCTGCATATCCTACTTTATATATCTATAGATACCTCTCTTAGTTTTGAGGTGGTCACACATTCCTCAAACTATAGGAAATATACAGAAGGTGAGAAAAAATTTCAGGTACTTCCTCCCGATACCTATGATAAAGGACAAGTGCTTGAATGGTTACTTATTTTGGACTGAATAAATCTCTTCATCTAAAATTTTGACCAAGACAGAGGAAGAAGTTCAAAATACAACAAAAAAGACAGCTGGACACAAAGGAGTCAATATCCTTCTGTTACCCCTGTGGTCAGCGGTCAGCATCACTTCTCCAATTTTATTTTTATTTTGAATAGTCAAGTACTAGGAGAAGCAAAACAAGCAATAACGATCTAAGATATTCTATCAGCAAAGCGATCCCCAGGACATTGATGACTTACTTTTAAAAATAAAAAGATGTTTCAAGTAACACGCAATTAGATAGCAAGAAAGAAAATGACATGTCTGGTATAGAAGCAACAACATTCCTCCATGTCAAATTGAATGTCGTGTTATTATGCAGACCAAAATTATGTCCACTTTCCTAGATGGAATACCTAAACGGAGGAAATCCAAATGGTGAATGTGGATACCTTAAACATGCGGCTCAATTGCTCAACACACTCCAACACGAGCTGCTGATGAGGAAGCACCTTCCGGCTCTTCATAATGCGCACAATACAAGCATCAATTGCATAACGTCTGTCCTTGTCAACGTCCTCAACCACTTTTTTCCTTTCATCAACCGGAGGCAAAGGGATCTGAACGATACAAGAAGATCATTGAGAAAAGAAGTCCACAATGCATACAACAAAGTAAGCATCACAGCAAAATACAAGTAGCTCTAAACAGTATCTATACCCTAATCCTCCTCATTCTGTCAGTGAACTTGGAGTTGAATTCAAAATGATCCGTTGACGAAACAGTTCTATTGCTAGGCTCTTTGGTCAGAATTTTATACTTAGCACATGACAGGGATTGAAGCAATCTGATCAAGTCATCATCAGCCAAATTTAACTGACTTTTGATATCTGAGTAACTCAATCTATCTGAAGCATTAAACAGTAATAGAGCAGCAGCCTGAAAATGAAATCATTAATCAGTAACCATATTTGGTGTCAGAAACAGTGATGCTGCAGCAGTACCATTTCACGAACTGATCACCTGGTAAGTTCCCACAATAAGTTCAATAGTTTTTGATTCAAACTTGCCATTGATATTGCATGTACCCAGTGAATAAATCCAGGTCAATTTCCTGTGTTTCGTTTTCGTCTGATAAAATTCCTTGAAGACTTCTACACACTTCACCTGAGATACCAACAGAGGAGTAAACACCCATAAAAAAATACAAAAAGGAAAGATCAAACCAAGCAGCAGAAATTGAATCATTATATCAGATGAGAAGCAGATCTCACCATTTCCACAGGGAGACTCAGATCAGAAGATTTATAACTAGGCCAAAAGCCAGTTGTAAGAACTGTGACAGTCAAATCAATTCCGGGATTAGCTGCCGAGTTGTTACTGAGATATTCCTGAAAGTGACTCTGATTTTCCTTCGCCAGAGTCAAGTCCGTCACCTGTTTTGTTATTTCAAACAGTAAGTGTTGACAAGACAATTTGAACGGGAAAGATAAAATTAGCAGTACTATACACTCTCCTCACCATTCCCTCCATCTTTGACGTAAACTGTCCACCACACTGCTGCTTTAACTTTGTTAAGATAAGCCTTTCATGGTCATCATTGGCACTTTTATCAAAAAGCAGTCGCCGAGAAAGCTTCTTCCTATAAAATTATGAAGACGGATACATATTCAATGGTTAGAGATGTAACAAGAAACTAGTTACTGGATCAAAAAAAAACTTGATGTAGCTTCCGACCTGTAGAACT